CCTTCCTCCCTCTCTCTCTCCTTTCCTCCTTCTCTCTCTCTCCCTCCCGCCCTCCTTTTCTTTTTTTCTTTTTCTCTCTCTCTCTCTCCCTCCCTCCCTCTCTCTCCCTCCCTCCCTCTCTCTCCCTCCCTCCCTCCCTCCCTCCCTCTCTCTCTCTCTCTCTCTCTCCCTCTTTTCTCTTTCTCTTTCTCTCTCTCTCTCTCTCTCTCTCACTCTATCTCTTCTATTCATTTTTTTATTAAAAATAAACAATTACTTTAATATCGATAAAAATTATCTCGATGTTTGTTCTTCGAATTTTTATGATGATCAATCGATGATTATATTATAAATCTAAAGTAAAATCATGAGAATTTTTTTTTGTTTTTGTTTTTTTACATAGACATTACAATTTTCCTCGAAACAATTTTTTTGTCAACGTGCATTATAATATTCTCTGTAATTGAGTTATATAATTCGTTTAATCGATAAAATTACTAGAGAAAAATTATGATAAAAGAGTAAAGCCTTCATTTGTCGTAATGTCGTCAATTCCTCGTTTAACTTCTTACACCAAGTAGTTCATTACTACGTCCTTTGTGAGTGTCCCAAGTGCTTCGAAGAGACGTTAAATTTGAGCACGAGTACGAAGTGGATCCCCAACGCTGTTAACTCCTATCGTCCCTCGTCATCGTGGTACGCAATTTACGAGACGCATCTTCTTGACGTTAGGACGTCGTCTTCGATGTCGAAATCCTTTTAAAACATTAGAAACACCGTTTTACACGTAAAACTTTCTTCTTATTAAGATCATTGAATTTATCTTTACGCAATCCATTTCCTTCTGTAAATTATTTAATGAACATATTAACAAGACTTATCGATAAATCAATAATTATTTTTTAATAAATTGAATAAGTTTTAAGTCGATTTGACAAATTTTTCTAAAATGTTTTTATTAAACATTTCGAAATATCTTATGATAAATCGATAAATCATTGTAAAATAAATTAAAATCAAATGTAAACTGATAAATATAATATCAATTAAATTTAGCAAATTTTTTTACTTGTCTTTTACAAACTTGAGATGGAATAAAACACAAGTCTATTATAAGAAATTGTTTAAACTATGTATATAAAAATAAAATACAAAAAAAAAGATTTTAATTCGATAATTTAAAGGAAAAAAAAAACTAAACAAAGATGAAAAACTATTTAAATACAAAAGGAGAGTAAAATAAAATACAAATTTGGTGTAAACATTGAAAAGAAAGAAAATTGTATGTACAAGAAAGAATTTAATTCTCTTTCGTATTATTATTATTATAATCTGTGTGATCGACATAGTGAACTCGCTTGAATTATACTAATGAAAGTAGCTTTTGCAAATGACACGAGTTCAATCGTTATCTTAATGTCCGTCGTAAATCTTGTTCAAGTTAAAAGGGAAACTCTCATGTGAATTAATTATTATGTATCAAGTCTCGGTAACGGCGAGAAAATTCGAAACTCGCCGATAACGTTATTTTTATCTTGCACTCATTGAGATTAATACATAGTTTAGAATTCTCGATATGTGTGATACCTGCATATGTGTTACTCTCACGATTTCCTTAACAAAACTTAATTGCAAGAGCCTTTCCTCACACTTCACTTCGACTCGCTTCCTTCGCGTTCGCAAACGCGTTTTACACGTCACGGATGACAAACAGAATAATCGCTAACGCGGACGAATGGTCGACTAGAATGCACGACTGAGAAACTGCCATGTTGTACCAGCGTTACGATAAAATTTCAACGGACTTGCACGGACGTTGAATCCTTTGCGATTTATGCGACATGTAATTGTCTCTGGAAAATATTTGCAAAAGAAAAGAAGAAAAAAAAAGAAAAAAAGAAAAAAAAATTAAGAAATAACAATGTATACAAGAAATGAAATAAGCGTACTTACGTATTTAAAAAAAAAAGGAACTAAGTCAAACTTAGAATTTTTGTAATCATTAAGTTAGAAATTAATTAAATAATCTTTAGCTTCGTGTGAACGACAAATTTGTGAAAAATTATATTGAACAAAAATGTCTGATCGATAAAACGCAACAAATGGTTTTTCGAAAGTAAATTTATTATATTTAAATGTTTCGATAAATGTTTAAAAAATAATACCCACTCTACTACAATTTTTTTTTAACCAATTACGCGATCGTTGATTCCGAATATTCGGAATTTAATTAATTAAATAACATATCCATTTGTGATTTAGTTTCGAAAAATTTGCCGGTCGTTATAATTTTATGAGAGTTAATTAATGTGAACAACTAATTCTGTTCGTTGTTATTACGTTAAAAAATTTCATCATTTCAAGGTGATTACATGAATAAGCAAATTTTTTATAACGAAAAAAATTTAAGGAAGTTATTTTTCGTAAAGCTTTCTCTCAAATAATTAAACTAGTCCTTTTCGCCAGAAGCAAACACGACAACGACGAGAAATTCCTACGCTATCTCTTCTTAAGTATCTGACATAACGGATAATTAGCGAAAAGATCGGGCGATCATTAAATTTTGCGAGATACCAAAGTAAAGAGAGAAGAGACGAGTGTTGAGATATTAATCGAATGCATTAAGGATCGCAAATTGGTTGAAGTCAAAAACACTCCGTCTTTCTCTCTCTTTCCCTCTCTCTTTCTCTCTTTCTCGTTTATTTTTGTGTATATATATATATATATATATATATATATATATATATATTTTTTCCCATTTACTTAAACGAAATTTACGATGCGCCAAAAACGAAGACATCGAATTTCTCGATTCCTCTCGTGCAATCGGAATTCAGGTCGACGAAGCCATCGCGTAACAACCAGATTCGTCCTGTGTGTACCGACGATTATTCTGAAGCATCCGTTGAGTTTTCATCGAGCGAGAAAAAGAGAAGTGGGTAGAGATAGATAGAAACAAGAGAGGGAGAGAGAGAGAGAGAAGATGAGAAAGAGTTTTCGCGTTCGATAATCAGAAATACGACGATGCTGTACCTCGTTCGAGAGTCGACTCGTACATCAAGCTAACGCTCCGGTTTTTTATTCGACGCTTCGTAATTCACTCCCTTCTCATTTTCCATCTCCCCAAGCCTCACTATCATCCTTGTCCCTCGCGACCAATTTCATTTTCCGTTCTTCCTTCTATCCTCTTTTGCTTTTTATTCCTTCACACACACACACACACACACACACACACACACACACTTTTACTTTTTTTCTTTTTAAAAGAGATCTCATCTTTTTATTTTAATTTGTATTTCTTATGTACTATGTTATCTCTTATTTTATTTAATATTTTCTTTTTTGATTTTTCTTTATCATTTATTTTGTATATCATAAAAGAAAGAGAAATTTATATATATTTATTAAAATTATTTTTCTCTTTGTCTATCAATGAAATAAAATCACCAAAAGATTTATAGAGTTCTCTCTCTATCTCTCTCTCTTTCTTCTTCTTTTTTTAATATTTAACAATTTTTCTTTCCTTCCTTCCTTTCTTTCTTCCTTTCTTCCTTCTGTGGTATTTCCTTTGGATCGTTCTTTATCATTATTGTCATGGATGTTTTCAAGACGATACTCTGAGGAATCAAGTATTATCGCAACTTACAAATGTTTCGTTATCGGTGATTCTTATGCGAGTCGTGTCCAGGGACGACCCACTGATCCTCTCGATCCGTAGACGATCTTTGCCAGAAGCTCTTCCAGTATCTCGAAATGCAGTTACTTTGATATTTCCTGAAGATCAAGTTCTATTTCATTGTAGTTTTCATCGATTTTCCTTCTTTCCATTCTTGTTTTTATCTTTCGATTTATTGTTAACATTGATATTCTCATAAAAATGATTTTTTGTAAAAATAATTTTATTTCTTTTTTACAGAAATTTAATTTTTATAATAATTTTCTGTAAGAATATTTAAAGATTTTACTTTAAATTTTAAGAAATATAATTCTCATGATAACGATAAAATTCGTATCGCGTATTATATTTTTAATATTTATCAATACAAAACATCGATAAGAAAAATGTGAGAGATAAATAAGGCGGAAATGACGAGGAACATTGAAAATTTCTCTATCTTTATTTTCTAGTCAATTGACAATCTAAAAGAAAAAGATACTGTTTCACAATAACGTATAAATAAAACGAAAAGCTAACAATAAGTGGAAAATCAAGTGAGACGAAACGATTTGCAGGACGCGTATCTAATCAAGTCAATTCTACGGGCATCGTGATTTTTGCAAGACGACCCACGCGTAGAAAAGGATGGAACGGATAGACGACGATGAAGGATCAAGAAAAAGCTAAGTAGAAAGAAAAAAGAGAGGTAGAGAAAGAAAAAGAGAGAGAGGGAGAAAGAGAGTACAGCAGGTTGTCGATTCGACCAGGTCGATCAGTGTATACTCGACAGCGAATGTGTGCACACGCGTGATCGCGAGTAGAGAGAAAGAAAGATAAAGAGATAGAAAGAGAAAAAAGACAGAGAGAAAGAGAGAGAGAGAGAAAATTGAGAGAGAGAGAGAGAGAGAAAGTTGAGAATGGTGCTGAGAAAAGAAGGACGAAAATAGAAGTAGCCTCGGATAATTCATCGAGGGCGAGTTGTGCGAAACGCTTCAATGCATTTTATGTCAATTTGATTTCTTAAGAATTCTCTTTTTCAGAAACAAAAAAAAAAGAAAAATAGAACAAAAATACAACTTTAATTACTTTTTTCCCTTTAAAATTTGTAATGTATTATTCCCACTATAATTTCTTTCCGAAAAATTTCAAAATCAAAATTTAAATAATATTGAATAATATTTATTGTATCGATCTACGATCTAATTGTCGATTACGACATAAAGAGATAGTCGACATTTTATTTTCGAGTGTCATTCTTGCGATTTAGTTTTGTTTCATTCGTCGAAATTGATTAGTGTTAATACCGTTAATGATATCAATCGTTCACGAATGTTCTTAATTATTAATTGTTGAATCTACAAAGAAAATCGCGAAGATGCTCGAGCTCGTAGAAAGAAAAGCGAATGGAATTTCGTGGCACGGACGACGCACTGAAAATCTCGCAGACATTACCAACAACTCGAAGGGGATATTTTTGATGAAGAAAGAGAAGGACGTACCGCGTGAGAAACGATGGAAAAGAGATAGTAAAGGTCTCTTGTGTTCTCTCGGCCAGCTAGGATACAATGATTCTTCATATAGTCCAGACACGCTTGGCACGTGGAAATTTCACAGAATTACTCATAGAAGGTAAATCGATTAATCCTAAAATGCATGTGGTTCGGTAATAACAATCTATTTACGATAAAGTAAATCTAGTTTAATACATTGAAATCAATTGAAAATTTTGTATATTTTATCCTGAATGTCCCAGTATAACTTGCATTATTGTAAACATATAATGATAAATTATTGTAGTAGTATTTAATTAAATAAGACTATATATTTATCAATAGTCGACCAAATTTTAAAATAATAAATAACAAATGTTAAATTTTAAATATAAAAACTTTAAAAAATAGCAGAAAAAAGTAATAACATATTGTACATACTGCAATGGTCAGCACTACCTTTGTTTATTTTCATACAGTTTATCACGAAATCTAATTTTTGTAAAATATTATGTTAGTTATCTTTTAAACCAAAAAAATCAAATGTATCGTTCAATAATATTTGAAATAATAATTTACAACTACATATCATAAATACATAATTCATTATTCTATTTGTAGCGAGTGAGAGCAATGTAATATATGTGCAACAATTTAATTTTTTATTAAATTGCGTAAACGACATTATGATAATGTACTGTTTTTCCATTATACTGTAATATTTACTGAATAGCTATGATATATTTTTTTCTTCAAAATGTTTAAAAAAAAAAAAAGGAAAAATGCATCAAATAATTAACATTATTTATTTTTTTGTTAACAAAAATTATAAGAAAGAAATTTCTAACAAAACATAAACACCGATCATAACTAACGCGACCGCATAATTACGCAAGGATCCTTCGACTGTTTTCATATTCACCTACTTTCAATTGTTGATATATATTTCCGCACGCCTACGAAACTACAATATAACGCATGTATTTATAATATGTATATATACATATATATATATACACACACATACGTATATATATACGATACGACCACATTTAAAAAATATACGAGTCTTATAACGCTGATACTTAGCTCAATAACGCAAAGATATCGCTGATACGCTGAAAACTGAAAAGAAGTTACAAATATACATATAAATTAAGAGATCTTCTCGGAATCCCTTGGAATCCAGTTTATCTTCTAGATCTTATGGTCCTTTCTTTTTATAAAAATAGATAAATAGATAAATAAATAAATGTTCAATTGCATTTATAGATATGTTAAACGATTAATACAAATAGTTGAAATAAAATAATGAACTATATCAAGTAAACATAGCTATTTAATAAATATAGATCAGATTAAAGATTAATCTAATATATTAATTTATCTAACACTAATATAATATTAATCCATATAAATTTGATATCTAATATTAATCTAATTTAATAATTATATGATCTAACAAAAATATAATACTAATTACAAAAAAAGTTATTGGGATAAAAATTAAATAGAAATGATTTAATTATTAAAGATAGAGAAATAAAGTCTATTTTCTATGACAAGAATCGATTGATAAAAGAAAGAGATTGAAAAATAGTCAGACTCGGGTCATGATTCGTGTTAGTGATTATTACCGTTTTAAGGGTCGATATTAACGAGCTGTCTGTAACACGTACGATCATTATTTTTCGGACGATGCAAAAGTGCAATAGAGAAAGTCATAGTGAAAGGAAAGCTGCGTGGGCGACAGTCGCAGGTGCGTAGTAGTTCTGGTCGGGCCGGCAGGTCAGGGCCGGAGAACAAGACTCCCCTTCTATACATATGTATATATATATATATATATATATATATATATATATATGTGTATATATATATAAAACTTTTATCAATACTTTTTCAACCCTCAACCAACCCTCGATGTCCATTCCATGGAAAAGAATTTTTCTATTCGACTCCACGAATCCGATCGAGATTCCACAACCTGTATCGAACGAGCACATTCTTTAAACGTACATACATCGAATTCCACGATGGCTTTCAGATCGGCGTGATTTTTCGAAATTTCCATTCGTTCCAATGCACTTCGTGCTTCCTGTTCGAATTTTAAATATGAGACAGATCGAATAAAAAACAATTATGTATACATACAATGATAAAAAGTGATGTCACAAAATTAAATAACACGAGATATATTAATTAAAAGACAAATTAAAGATAAATTAAAAAGGTATTCTATATATTCGGTGATGAATACAAAATTATATACATAAATAAATAAAAAATACGAGATATAAAACAAACAGGAGGAAGAGATACATCAAATAAAGAGGAAAAAATGAACTATAGAGACATTTAATATGATAAATAAAAATTTACTTATGCAAAAATAAAAAAGAAAGAGAGAGAGAGAGGGGAGAGAAAAATATTTCATTGGGGTATAATAATTCTAAACAAAGACAGGAAATGAAACAAATTATTCCATCGCCTTGAGATTCAAGTGTTACATGATCTCCGGATCTCCGGGGGACAAAATGCGAATGACTCGAAGAACAGGTAAGATCTTCGTGGAAGGAATTGCGTTCTTCTTACGATATCGTGAAGGAATGATTAGTATCAAATGCGAATGGTTATTAGTTCGAGCAAAGAGACACACTGTCACTATTATTACGAGTCTTGCGGCGTGTTCTTTCTATAAAGCTGATACCGCTCGTAATCGATATCACATGTCACTTTGGTAATATTATCAGCACCTTGTGCTGTAATATCACGAATTGGAACAAATACGTATATATGTGTGTGTTTCTATGTTCGTGCATGTGTATATATTTACATAAATATGTACGTCTATATAAAGTATATACGCATACATATGTACGTCTATATAAAGTATATACGCATATATATATATACATACATATGACTATGGTATCGTTAGCAAACTTATAATTACGATGTAAACTCCGATAACACGTATTTGTATCACCCCAAAATCATCGATTTGATTATCTCTTGTATATCGACTAATCGCACTTTGTTGAGCGTGTCTATTACTCGCTTTCTAATATCAATTTTGTATCTCGCAAAATCAATTATTCTTAATCTGGATATTACGAATATTTGCAATTTTAGTACTTGAGTTTCTCGTTGATTAGAATCGATAAATTAGTTATAAGAAAAAAAGAAAGAAAAGGAACAAGTTTTTTTTTTTCAATCAGAATAAGAAAAAAAATTAGTTAGGGGAAAAAAAGGAACATCCAATAACGGAATTGATTTTACATACAATGCCTATTCAAATTGATTAAATTAAGAATTCTGATTAGAAGGGATATCGTATTTATACAGTTGATTCATAAATAAATAATGTTAGAAGAGTGAGGAATTTATTAAAATAATTTATAAAGTTTATATACAATAATAATTTATTATAATATAAGTATGGAATTTATTAAGATAAACTAGCAATTATTTATGAATCAGTACAATATAATGTATTAAATAAAACGCTCATTGGTTTGATTCAATTTGGAACTGAATATTTGTCCGTACGAGTCAATCGAATGAAAGGTGCATACGAGCGATAAATCGAAGCTTAAATCGAATATTAGCGTCATTCCTAATGACTCTTGCTCAATGGTCGCTCGTTTCGCATTCAATGAGATGCGGATGCGCAATAATGTACCGGGGATCGCGAATTGTGCAATAATTTGCGTTTAACCATGGGAACCTTTGTCGGAACTCGATGGAACTGGAAACTCGTTTCGCATAATTACATTGATAATAATTTCTGATTCGATCCTTATCGCGAAATGTTATCTCTTGCAAGTATATAAAAGTTACACGTAACTATTAGAATATATTGTAAATATTCTTTTTTTTCTTATTTTTTTTTTTATTTATTTTTTTTTTTTTTTTCATTGCACAAATTTATCGTATATAAAACACACATTTGAATAAAATATTAATATAATTTGAATAAATTTATATCTAATATAAGAATTAAAATTAAGTAAAAAAAAGAAAAAAGGAATGTAAAAATAATTCAAAAAACAATATATTTAAAAAATGAACGATTTTACAAGAAATTTTATACAATTTTAATGCCGAGATTAGCACCGTCGTTAATTACTCCTATTTACGGACTGTCGAGTAGCCCATGGCGCACTGTTCGAGCAGTTCGTTCCTGACACGACGACATTCCTTAGCCGGACAACGCTAGTAATATGCATTTGCATTAATAGCGGCAATACAAACAGGCGCGATGTAGTCGCACGAAATGATTTCGCTGCTCACGCGTGGCGGAAATGTTTTCGATCGTTCGTCTGATTTTTCAATACTCCATTGATCATTCCAAATGATTCACTGAATCTTTTTATTTCTTCGTTTTCAATGTCGAAAATAGAATATCATGTGTATAAATAATATATAATTATTACATATAATTATCTATCATAATAATAGTATATAATTAACAGTAATATATATGTATTTGTATTACAGTTTGTGTGTACGTGTGCATGCGCGTGTCTATGTTTATTTATGTACAATATATAGATTATATTTATGTACAATATATAGAGAATATCTTGTCTACGACATTAAAAATAAAAGAAGACGTACATATACCATATATATATATATATATATATATATATATATATATATATATATATATATATGTTACATACATGTTACATATAATATGGTACATATGCGTCTTCTATATATATATTTATTCAAAAATAAATGTAGAGCCTGTTTAAAGATTCGTAGATTATAATTTAGTATTATTTTAAATCTAATTAAATATAATACCTCATAAAACTAACTTATGTATGTTGTGTTTTATAGCCTACATATATTAATATATACATAATATATACATATGTATATATTTTTATATATAACATATACGTATATATATGTATATGTATATATATATATATATACGTATATATGTATATATATAATGATATATATAATGATATATATATATATATATATATATATATATATATCATCAGTAATTTGTTTGATATGAAATTTCATTTACATACGCTCAATTATATCTTCATTTATCGTCATGAAAACGTCATGCCAGATGGCAATGATGCTGCCTTTAGCTCGATCATCATCTAAATTTCAAATATACGAGAAGAAAGATAATTTACAACGGAGACTTCCCCCTTTAGAAAAGTTGAATTCCACATAAACATACACGTTCTTTCTTGAATACGATGAATATTTTTAAATGATCGAGTTAAATGAAACACCTTATATAACGTCAGACGTAAGCATGTAAAACGTGTCAGAGGGTTGCGCGTTCAGTGAAACCATGAATACGATCGTGCTTGAATGGGGAGTACAGTCATAGGGAAGAGAAACAGAAAAAAAAGGTTGGAGGCAAACACGCATTCTTTTGAAATGGTACACGTCATTCGCACCTCGGCAAAGCGAATCGTGAAAAATCTAACAGCAGAACCCGGAAAATTTTCGCAAACGATGAAAATATACGAAGAGATTGGTTAAATTAACCAGAGTGGTTTACTCCTTTTCTTTTACTCTTTCTCTCTCTCTTCCTCCCTCCCTCCCTCCATTCATTCATCCATCCATCCATCCATCCATCCATCCATCTATTTATCTTTTCCTCTCTTTATCCTTCCCTTTCTTCATCTTTTCCTCTCTCTATCTTCGCACTAGTTTGTCTTTCATTTAGGCGACCAACGAGAGAGTTTTTAATTTTAAACAATTTCACATAAACCAGCAGACGAGCCAAACATGTCTCCTTTCTATTTCTTTCTATATCTTTTTTTTTCACTCTTGGACAATCTATTTGCGTTAGCGACACTAAACGTTTTCTTCAAGGAAAAAAAATTGAAGGGAAAGCTTAGAAAAATATATCTGGCATTTTTATTAATCAATAACACAAATTTTAATCGAACCAGGGAAAATCCATATCTATGACTCAAAAATATTTGATATCAATCGACGTTCCTTGTCATAAAACATTTTTATTGAATCATCACATTCGATTCGTCACAGATGTGACGAATTTTTTTATTTTTTTAATCTTTTCAAAGAAATTTTTTGAATCTTTCAGAAAGATCGATATATTCTTGAATTTATACTACCGTTGTATAGAAGTGATAAGAATTGCGAAATAGAATACATCGTCGTTTGGATTGCATTTGGGATAGTTGATTTCTAATTCGCTTTCGATTATTTTAAGGTCAACTGTTAATGTCATTTGACTTGTCTTGAGTCTCTAACTGTCTCTATTTCGTCGAACAAAAATGCGAGTACAGAAATTTCGTTTGATTTTCAATTGTATTTATTACAAGGAATATATTTACGTGCAATCGTTTGATTTCTTCGTTAAAAATCGTCAATTGTGTCATTCCAGGTAAATCAATGAAGACTTAAGGATTTCTTTTAATACGATCAGTTACGCAAATTCAAATAATTTTGAGCTGATAATTTGGATTAAAAATTAACTCATTAAATCATTGTCTCTTATTGTCGATAAAAAATAAAACTGATTTTCTAATGATTCCACGATAATTATTTTTATATTATTATATATTAACTGAAATCAATTAAACTTTTGTTCTTATAATATACCATATATATGTTTAAACGAATATTATTTTCATATCATTCTCTTCGTCTAGATTATTTCACTTTCACTACTACTCTATACTAAAAATGTTAAACACGCAAATACTCGACTTCAATTAAGATTCTATTTATTCCTATTTATTTTTTTGCAGCCATGAGGGGATGAGCACTGGGACAGGAGATGGAGGTGGAAGCGGAGGTGGTAGTGTACAGGGTGGTGGAGGTGGAAGAAATACACCACCTCATGGATCGCCCACCCCCATGGACAAGGCGACTTTAAAAGTCCATTTACCCAACGGTAATTGAATTTTATCTTTCTTAATAACTTTGTGGTATCCATCGAAAGGTTGACAGGGTAAAACCTGATTAAACATTTAATAAATCGAAGCTGGTGATGAAATATTTGTTTTGTTTATCCTTTGATCATATGTTTTAATTTGACAGGTGGTTTTAATGTCGTTAAATTTGGTGATGCTATCGACGTCAAAGGGATCATCTCGTTGGTAACCAGTCGACTCGCCGTTGGTACCAGACATTATCGAAATCTCTATGCGATGAGATTACATCATCCAGGATCTGGTGAGAGTTACTGGTTGCACCAAGATACCACCATGTACCAGGTATTCAATAAAATAAAAATAAATTTAAATAATAAATACATATTAGATGTGCAAATAAGTTTGGTGCCTATTTAGCATGATTTTAATGTTTTATTTGTAAAACCAGGAAAAATATGTTAATTTTCGATATAGTTTCTGTTATTTTTCTCACACACTTATCTCTCATTTTTCGGACAGCCGACGAATACCGTTTTGATACAAAGATGGTGATTTTGATTCAATAAAATCAATGGTGCTTTTTTCTACCTTCTTGAGAAATTTTAAGTAGGAATTAAGTAGGAGAATTTTCCAAAGCAGAGAAGAAATGACTTCCAGGATTGCTTTCGTCATATGTGTTCATATGTTGTCGTGCAGCATAATCACCTGTCTGATTCCACTATCGGTAAAAAGTCATTTGCGTTCAATTATATCATTCAAATTAATCATTTATTGTTATTAACAAACAAAAGTAATCGTTTCTCATAATAAAGAACACCTTTAAAATTTCAACGAATTCCTCGTCCTTCTTTTTTTTCTATGATATTCCACTGGGTTCTTCATCAATAAAATCAAAATTACCACTTCGAAATTTTTCAAACGTTTTTACGTTTTATGGGTTACAGTATCTTCATCTAAAACGGAACAAATCGTTTCGACAATATAAGTAAAATTATTTTTTAACTGATACGCAAAAAAAAATACATTGCCTAATACGCTTCTTTTTAGATGTCATCGTGCAAACTACTATTTTTTAAAATTATACCCAGAGTTAAGTTATATGGTGCGTTTAAAAGGATGATATTGATACTTAATATCCCAAAGCAGATAGGAAAAATTTTAATTCAAAACAAAATTACAATTGATTGAATGTAAAGGCATCGAACTTGTTTTGTACACCTAATATATGTCTTCGAACTGATATCTAATGATATTGATATTCATTGGATTCAGGTTCAAGAGAAGTATGAAAAGAAACATCCTCATTGCGAGTGGAGGTACGAACTCAGAGTACGATATCTACCGCAAAATCTGAACGATCTCTACGAGAAAGACAAAGTCACATTTTACTATTATTATGATCAGGTAAAATTTCAACGAATAAAATATAATAGAGGCGGATTTTTTTTTTAAATGATTAAAATGATAGTAAAACGATTTATAAATATAAAATTTGAAGTTGCCGATAGTGGACAACACTCTTTTAATATATAAATAAACCTGTCCTGAATTAAGATATTTCCTTATAATTGACAACTATTTCATTATATAAATTTAGAATAATGAATAGAATTATTTACAACAAAAATCATTCCATAGGTACGAAACGACTACCTCTATGCAAATCATGCTGCACTGGATCAAGACGTAGCTGTTCAATTATGTTGCTTAGAGATACGTTATTTTTTCAAAGACATGCCACAAATGGCTCTCGACAAGAAAAGTAACTTGGAATATTTAGAACGAGAGGTAGATTCAACTTAAAATTTTTCTCAACAAAAAGAAGACACATGCGTATATATATATATATATACATGCGCATGTGTTTATATATATTTTATATCATATATATTTTAACAAGGAAACATTTTATTAAGGTTGGCTTACATAAGTTTCTTCCACGATCCGTGTTAAACGGAATGAAGCCAAAGGCACTTCGAAAGCTGATACAACAACATTTCAAGAAAGTAGCTGCTCTTTCGGAATTAGAATGCATGTTCAAGTTCTTTGACTTGCTTCGGGCACATTATAGGTTTGATCAGGAAAGATTTATTTGTGCATTGGGGGTAAGAAAATTTTATATTAAATTGAAAAAATTCAAGAAAAAGAAAAAAAAACAAATTCTTTCCACAATATATAAAAGAAATGTAACACGAAATATAAAATTCATTTATCTTTTCATCTCCAGTCAAGCTGGTCCATTCCTGTTGAACTAGTCATCGGTCCCGATCTCGGCATATCTTATATGGCTCATCGAGGTGGAACAGTGGTAAGATGACTAACAAAGTCAAATTAAAATCAGTAAGATCCCATTTGCCTGTTCTTAAACCGATCATCTTTTTTTCTTTGTCGATCATTCTAGCCAACTAGAATGGCGGAGTTCTCACAAATACAATCAATTCAAACGCTCGTTTCTGACTGCAAAGAACATGCCAAAGCATGTATCAAATTAAGAGTCGCTGGAGCAGCTGAAACGCTGAGCATAACTTGCTCTAGTTTGGACCAAGCGGAAAGTCTCGCTGACTTGATAGACGGTTATTGTAGACTAGTGACTGGCAGTAATACTTCATTATGGAATCGAAAAGGTGAACATTTATATTATAAAATATTATACATTTGAAAAAATATTTGGCATGCGCAGTATAAACAAAGTAAATAATAATAATCGACGATATTGTCGAAATGTAAAATCTTTTCATGTTTCTTTTCATTGTTAATAAGCAGTAATAGCTTGCTGATATGATTCTATTAGAAACGAACAGAGATATTTAGTTTTGTAAATTTTTAATAACGATCGACTTATTCATTTCTTGCATAATCCTAAAAATTCATTAATAATCTTTTTTATAAAACTGAAACATTAAGTTACATTAAATAAATAAATTGTTGTCAAGAATTGAGTAATTTGCACGTATTCCCAGTTTACTTTAACAAATTATACTAAGCTGTAACCCTGTTCACACTTCCAAGCTGCATCGTGGAAAAATTATCCCTGTCCATGCAAAGGTTTGTAGTCTTGAAAGATCCTTTTACGATAATTTAAAGCTGTTGTATACAAGCTTGTAGCCAGAGTCATTGCATCGAAGTAAGATTAAGTTTTGTCCCTAATAACTATTAACATTCATCCGTTTGCATGTCCTGGCTACAAACATGACTACATCGTCAAATAAATAAAATATCATATTTATCAAATACTTCCTAGATCTCATTGCTCTTTTTTTTTATTTCCGTTAGATGCACATCCTCCAAAATATAGACAAGATGGTTTCAATAGTCCTGAAAAAAATGTGAGCAAAACGGGAACGATTCTGTCTGAAGATTATGCAGAAATCGTAGACGAGGAAGGAGACTATTCGACTCCAGCCAGTATGTAAAATTATATTTTATTATTTTCACTTGATACAATTACATTATTAATTTATTAATTTTTCAAATAATTAAATGATATATTCTAATTTTTTAATAATTCTAGCACGAGATTATGAAATAGTCCGTAATCAAGTAGAACTGGGTGAAATTATTGGAGAAGGTCAATTTGGTAATGTTCACAAAGGATCATATAAAGGTAGGGATGGACAAACGCTAGCTGTTGCTGTTAAAACGTGTAAAGTTGATGCGGACCTTGCTACTGCTGAAAAATTCCTCGAAGAAGCATGTACGTGTATAATTCTTATATACTCTCATAAAACTAATTTAAATGTTTGGAATATTTTGTAATTTAAACGTATTTCAGACATCATGCAACAGTTTGAACACCCTCATATAATTAGACTCATTGGAGTATGTTCCGAAGCGCCAATCTGGTTGGTCATGGAATTGGCAAGACTTGGAGAAATGCGTGCATATCTTCAATCTAACAAACATCGATTAGATCTTGCGACTCTTTTACTCTATACATTCCAACTTAGTACCGCTTTATCGTACCTCGAGAGTAAAAAATTTGTACACAGGTATTTAAAAGAAAACATGTTTTCCTTCTTGGAATAATGCGATAAATTTTATCTCTATTTGTAAAATAGAATTTAATTGCGATTTCTTTAACAGAGATATCGCAGCTAGAAATGTATTAGTTTCTTCGCATAATTGCGTCAAGTTGGCAGACTTTGGATTGAGTCGATGGGTGGAGGATCAAAGTTATTACACTGCAAGCAAATGTAAATTACCGATCAAGTGGATGGCTCCGGAGAGTATAAACTTTCGGAGATTTACTACTTCGTCCGACGTTTGGATGTTCGGTTAGATATAAAAAAAATTTTTTTTTCAAAAATTCTATATTTTCTGCTTGCAGAAATAACGATATTTAATAATTTCAGGTGTTTGTATGTGGGAGATACTGATGTTAGGTGTGAAACCATTCCAAGGTGTAAAAAATAACGAAGTCATTCGTAAGTTAGAAAATGGTGAAAGACTAGCGCTTCCTAATCACTGCCCTCCACGTTTGTATTCCTTGATGTCTCAGTGTTGGAGTTACGAACCTAGTAAAAGACCAACTTTCAAAGAAATTAGAGAAACTTTACAGTAAGTTTTTAACTGTCAATTTAAGGGATAATTTAATAAAGTAACTCCAATTCCCAACGATTTATGTTACAGTGAAATTTTGTTAGAAGAGAAGCACCAACAACAGGAAACAATGAGACGAGAAAATAGAAGAGTTCAAGCCATGTCCTGGGGTAAGGGAAATATTACATTTTATATGAATTATTCATAATACTTAGCAATGGCAAAACATTTATTCAAGTTTGAAATAATATATTTTCCAGGTGCAGACGAAGTTCCACCGCCGAAACCTTCCAGACAGCCACAGAATACAGCAGCAGACCCAGCACAATTAACAGCAGCTGCACCTGTCTCTACGTATATCGTAGCACAGAGTCCGGAAGTTCTTGCTCAACTTCTTAAGGATAATCAAACTAGGGGGGTATGTCCCTCTGTCTACACTACTCCTGCCTCTCCATTTAACACACTCGCTGTACAATTTCAAGATGAAGATCAAGTCTTGACTACTGCCGTTGTCTCAGATTTACCCTTTTTCGATCCAGCGATCTCTGAGCCTACTGCTTCTCACGACACACAATCAGGAGATTCAACTTTGTCCGACACTAATTTAGATTCTCTAGATTCCTCTGATACCGTCTCTCCTCTCATGTCGAGTCTCAATATCTCAGACACAACTCAGACACAATCGCCAGCTGCCGGTAGAAAACAACAAAAGGTTAAAGAGATGCAAAACTTATACGCAGTAAGCTCTAAAGTTGTCGGTAATATCACGGGAGATTTATATTCGCCCGTGCAAAAATTTTCAACATCCAATCCAATACCCATTACAACTACTGCTTGTGGTGAAATTTACGGTCCCGTTGCTAATTTTACACAAAGTTCGGCTATCGTAGGTAATCTCAGTCAAAGTCCTAGCGTAGGTGGTAACTTTGGTGAAAATCCAGGCAATTTTGGCTCTAGCAGCTTAAATAATCAAACTCAATTTGTGAGTGGCACGCATGTTCAATCATCTAATCTTGGTCAACACCCCACTAATATCACCAGCCAAGCATATGTTAGTGGTCAACAACCTATAATTCCTAGTAGTTCGTCTACTTCAAATGCTATTACCGCTACAGGATCTCCTCGTATTAATACAGTTAACGTTCCAATATCTACTGGCAATGCGGAATGTTTGTACGGCCCTGTTTTAAAATTTCGAGCACAAAATGCTCAGAGTCAAAGTGGTGGGGACATGACATGCGTTAGTTCAGCTACATCATTTATTCCAAGTGGAAGAAGTCAATTGGTTTACAGTCCAACACCAATTCAAAACTTGCAATCTCAACCACTTTATCCTCAAAACTATCAACATCAACAAATATATTCTAACGTTAATCAAGTGGGACAACAACACATATACATTCCACGAACGCAACAAGCACAAAATATCCAACGACAAACTTCTTTGCAACCACAATCTCTTTCTTACACATCATCGCAACATACGATGCAACAAAGTCAAGCAAGTAGTGCCAATCCAATATACACAGCCCATGCTGCATCTGTTACGGTTGTTCAAGCACAAAAAATGCAAATGCCAAATTATATACCGCAAGTGCAAAGTGGGATGGCAAACAACCAATCGCCTGCATCATTGAACGTTACCGGGAACCAACATCAATCATTTGGAGTAACACAAGCTCATGGCATTCAACCTCGCATTATTCCACCAGGTGTTATGATACAACAAAGCAGCCAACAGCACACTCAACCACATGTTCCTAATTTCATCTTAGGTCAACATTCTGGTTATATTGCTCCTACGGAACAAACGCAAGTTCAGTACAGTGCTACAGGTTTCCCGGCACAACAACAAGTGATAAACGCGGTTAGTGTTAAACAACAAGTAGCTCAAGTGGCACCAGCGGTTGTTAAACCATGCGCACCTCAAGTAGCAACTGGCATAGCGAAAATTACTACGTTTGTGACATCAAAACAAGATGAACCATTGACAAGTTCTACTGATGGTACTCTATCTGGATCACTTATATCTTCCGCTGTCAGCGACAGCACCATGTCATCTAGCAGCTCGATGACAGAGGAGGCACAGCAAGATCAGGTTTGACTATGCCTCCTAGGAATGAAAAATTGCATCTTCTATCTGCAAGCATATCATTTGATATTACACAGTTCCGTGTATCTATAGCACCGTACATCTATTTTGAGGCAGATGTATATATGTGTATATAAGCTTTGCAGTATGCAAACGTGCACTTCCTTACACACGACCACAAACATCTACGCGTATCCGTAAACAACATACATACATACTCTCTTAAAACATATACATTTTCTTCAGTTACACACACAACAAGAATTTTTACATCAACCGAATATTTTAATTTACTATATTTGATAGGCTTTCTTATATGCATGTCGAATTAATCCAACTCTGGACTCTTATATTTTATTATTGATTACTTATATTACGTTCTATTACGGTATATATATATATATAATATATATATATACATATGTGTGTATACGTATATATATATATGCATGCAGCAAGTTTAACTGCATTATTTATATTTTAAAGTTCTGCACTTCGAAAATTATGCATCTCTTTAATTTTTTCTGTGTACATATGAACGTTTCATTCAGGTATACATGCGCATTTAAATATTTTTTTCTCCGCGTTAAGATACTAATATTTCTTGTAAATTGTTTGTTTATTTGAACGAATTTGTTACGAATGTTTACAAATGTTAATGGTGCTTTCATGAATATTTTAGAGAGGTGCACAGTCCCAGATATTTGACAGTGGTGCTGATAGTTTTACTGGTATAGATGACGAACAGAAGTTATTAGAACAGCGACTTTTGGAACAACAACGGCAATCAGAAGAAGATAGTCGTTGGCTTGCGAGAGAGGAGGTACTGAAGATTATTTCATAACTTAAAATAATGATTTATATTTAATTTATACGGATATATTTCATATTTTTCCTCATTTGTAGAAACGTTTGTCAATCGCAACAAGTGGAGATGAAAGTACTAGTCCGCCAATTCCTCGTTCAGCCACGCAATCACCAAATCATGAACCTCATACCATGAACACAGGTTCCCTTGGTTCAGATAAAGGACCTGAGAAAGAGAAAGAAAAAGTAATAGTAGTAAAGGTAATGTAAAATACAATAAAATATTTACTATAGATTAATTCTAATATACTATACTAAATCAAATTTAATTTTTAGAAAATGGAACCAACACCAACAGCAGATTTGGATAGAACTAATGATAAAGTATATGATTGTACTACCAGCGTAGTTCGGGCAGTTATGTCTCTGTCACAAGGTAAGTTTCTTTAACTGCTATAAAAATTTATAATTATGAAATGTTTTGATATACTTATATGCAAAGAAATGATTACAAACGTATGAATAAAATTTATATAATTACAGGTGTTCAACAGAGTAAAGCCGATCAGTATTTAGAATTAGTAAGAAGAGTAGGCATTGAATTAAGAGCTTTACTGTCCTCTGTTGATGCTCTTGTAGAAATCTTACCTATATCCGCACACAGAGAAGTAGAAATGGCACATAAGGTTTTAAGTAAGGATATGGCTGAACTTGTAACGGCTATGAAATTGGCACAAAATTATAGTGCTACCACGTTAGATGCAGAATATCGGAAGTAAGTTTTTATATATCAATTCTTTTTAAGATAATAAAAGTATATACAACGTAAAAGTGATTTTGATTAATGACATTATTTTATTCGTCAGGGGAATGCTTTCTGCGGCTCATATTTTAGCAATGGATGCAAAGAACCTCTTAGACGTAATCGACTCTATTCGTATTCGATATCCATATGTCGATAATCAAATTTGTCAAAGACAAAATGATAAGAATACGTCGCGAGACTCAACACCAGAACATTGCATTCGATCGAGCCAATCTGGTGAACATTTTTTGAGAAGAAGCCAGTCGAGTGAAAGGCAAATAACAACATTCAGACAAAGCCAAAGTGGAGATCTTCTACATCGAATGGGTCAATCAGTTGATCGTTCTTTGCAGGTGATTTTAAGATATATTTATTTTTAATTCTGTAAATACATATATTATTAATTATATGATTTTTTGCAATTAATAGGGAAGTCAAACTGATGTTAGTGGTGGAACTAGTTTAGAAAGGAGGCATCATATTGTAACGAATAGTCTTGAACGTAATTCAACAAGTAGAAGACAAATGGCAACTAATAGCTTAGAAAGAAAAAGGCCATCATTATCTTGTAATATGGGTCCTATGAATAATTCCGTTAATCTCCCGCCGATTGTACCAGTAGCATGCAATTTGGTTCAGACAGTGGGACCTGTTATTCATCCGAGTCAGTCAGTCGCGATGAGTGTTAGTCAACAGTCAGTATTCACTGCTAATAAATCTTCGAATGAAACACCTACCAGTGACAGCTAACAAGATGCCTTTCATTGAGGTGATTATCTTAAAAGAATTATTAACATCGACATTCTATTAAAATTAGTGATACTCATGTAGACTGATTTCAGGGATACTTTGGAGTACTACTTAGATTGTATGTAAATAGACGATAATGTATGAGTTACCTGTGTATGTCCCATGAATATATCGACAACAGGACATCTAGTATTTGTGCTTTTTAGCTCTTTTTAATATTTATATATACAGACACTTTGTCTAGGCGTACTTATAGATAGGACAGTATTCACCAGATATAGAAGTAGTAAATTAGATAATTTAAGTCACAACTATAAAGAATCAACTCCAAAGTTTTAGAATTAAAATTACTATTTGTTATGGCAAATGCGTGTATGTATGGGGTGATGCAAAGGATGCGTGCGCTTAATTAAGACTGCGATTATGCGAGAAGACATAGAGATACACATGTAGCAAGTATATCTGACCTGCTTTTTACAATTTATTCTAAAGCTTGACGAAAACCAAACATAAGTGTTCAAATAATGTTGCAATATTGTTATTTGCATGGCTCATAGTTCAGGAAATTGTTTCTCTTATTGCATCACCTCATAAGTAGTTGAATATTGCATATATCGTGCAAAGGTTTGGTTTCTTATAAGACACAATGTTGCCGCGTTGTTTTTAATACAAGTTCATAATTTGATAGTCTATTTCCTACATATAGAAGTACTATGGGGAATAATTATAATGTAAAAAATGGGACTGAACGTTATTTTTATTAGCAAATTATTTAACGATTCATACCAGTTTGCAACGTTTGTACAAGATGTTTTATAAAAAGCGAATCTCATTCTCCAACAGTAAGTCAGTTCCTACAAAATATTTTTAGGCAATTTCACAGAGATGCTGCTAATAGCTTTTTAGTACGGTTGGCAGTAACATTACATTAGCGTGTTCGATGCTTTTTTTAAAGCGTCACCAAATATTCTACAAATAAATAGAACTTCTTTTCTACATATAACATATCCTTTGTTAAGTTCCTGGGAAATTTGAAATCTTATTTAGGCAACATTCTTAAATGAATGTATTAATAACATCAATATCACCATACATACTCATACATCATATCATATTCGCAAACGATAAAAAAACTTTTAACTCTGTGCTACAATTTTTATTAATTCGAAAGATGGCTTTTAAGTCTTGATGTGCCAAGGTGTGCTTATGTACTCAAGACAGAATCTTCAATTTATAGTGGAAAGTTTTGCCATGACATGTATTGCCATGACATATATCCCAGGAACCAGTAGTAATATAATGACTAATAGTATAATCATTGATACTGCTACTGTTTTGAGAGCATAAGACACTTTCTTAAATTATGTTAAATGTACATAAAATACTATACAAAATTCACTTCTTTTTATTCAGTAAATAATATTGGTAATATAACCAAAATAACTTCTTAAATACGCATGTTTTGTCTTGTAGCAATATATGTATATTTTTATCTTTATATATAAAAAATTTACTTTCATTTATTAGAATCTTAACTTTAAAACATTAAATTTGAAAGTATATAGCTATCAAAATTTTATTCGGATATGAGACCAATTTCCACCTCACGATTCTGTATAAGATGCTTGTAAAATCATAACAGTTATGAGTGCCCATATTGTATAAAATAACTTCATTATTATATTATTATAGAAATATTAATAAATGCTGTTCTATGTATGAATTTCATTTTTTGACTTTCTTTTACATAGAGAAATAATTTAATTTTTAATATTTTCTTGATTTCTTGTGTTTATTTAAATATAAAAAAATCTTTTTAAACTTTTATCTGTACTTTGCACATTGACTTTACATATGAGCTATACACAAATTAGTTAATATGTGATCATCTCTCTAGATATAAACAATATTTAAAAAGTATTATGATTATTAATACTATAAAAATTAAATGTCGTAAAATAAACAGAAGCATAACAATTGTGCTTTTTTAATCGAGAAAACTTGCTAAATGCTTTATTCTTCTAAATATTTGTAACCACTATGCCACTCATATATTATAAGCAATATTTCTCATTTTAGAGAATGATTTTGGATGAATTCTTAATAGTATAATATATATTGTAGGTTTATTGTCTATTAAAAAGATGATGACATATAAGCTGATTTTGTGTTCATACCAATCTATTTCAAATCTTCTTGATAATAAAGATCTAGAAGAGAAACTAAAGATACCATTGAAATTGTTACTGTTATATCAGTTGGATAGGAGATAAAAATATACAATATATAATCTCATTTCAGAGATATTTATAAATTTGTGTAAATGTAACTATGTATCATGATTGCAAGAAAAATAAACTACGCATATGATTTCAGCATCATAAATGCATTATATAAATTAAAACTTAATAATATTTATTGTATTGACAAAATCTACATTGATATATACACATTTTATTTTTTATGATAATAGTTTTATAATTCATTAATTTGATACAGATATACATAATAAACTTTAAAACTTATTACATCTACCCAATTTTCAGAAAACTACATAATATTTATTTTCCATGCTTTGAGCTGTAATATTTAATACCAGTGTGTGTAGAACATCTTGCATATTTAGTTAATAAAGCATTCACATTCAATTTATTTGTTTCAAATTTCCTGGAATAATATTACTGGTAAATAACTGTTTAAAGGGGTTAAGTGGTATTAAAAGTAATGCTTTCAGAAATTGTTTTCATACTAACAATATGTATGGAGTTATTTCTTCAAGAGTCCATTTTTCTTTGACTTTAAATATTTCTTTAAGTCTATCATTGATATTTTTTGGTAAAGTTTCTTCTGGAAAAGATATCACTTCTTTTTGCATAATACTTTTATTATAAATAATAATTGCAATTCCTCTTAAGTATTCCTCTTTTGGCACTATTTCTAAAATTGTTTTTAATAAAAATCATAAATAATTATTCAAAAATTATGTTACTATTCACTTACTTTCTGGTGCACCCATTTTCCAGGATTCCATAAAATCATTATATTTATTAACAGGTAAAGCCGTTAGAAGAACTTTTGCTAAAATTTTACATACTTTTTCTTCATTGTATCTACAAAGGAATTTTACGTAAAAGAAATTATATTTACAAAATTTTAAACATATAAAATTATTACACGTATCTATAATTTGAAAATAGTACCTATATAAAGGAGTATTATCCTCTTTCAGTTTCTCACTTAAACTTGTATATTTCTCAAACAATGCTTTAAAAATAGGTTCAGCAATAAGTTCTTTTAAAGAATCATATGTAATTTCTTTATCAACTTCGTCTACTTCCCATGAGTAATCATTAAACAAATCTAACATATATGTCACATTTCGTACTTCTGCTTCAAATGATATTAATCGAAGATAACCTTAATAGTAAAACATAAAATAATATTTAGTAATTAACTTTATTAAAATAATTCTCTAATAAAGTTCACGGTTTAACATATAGTAATTTTATGAAAAATTACCATCTATTGTTACAACTAAGTGATCATTTAAAGCCTGTTTCAATTCATCCTCACTAGCCTGAATTTCATTTCTTAATTTATCCCAATCATAAAGTATTGTTGAATCTATGTCTGATTCATATTCTTTACCATTATAACAAGAAGGTTCAAGTACAGTCAATATTTTATCAACACGAGGTTTACATTTATGTACCTATATAATTCTCATTAATATATATTAAACATTTTAAAATGATTATAAAAATAATCATAAATACCTCATAGTAATTATGAAAAATTCCTGTTACACAACATCTTTTTATTACTCTACCATGTTCTTCTGGGGTCTTCGTATCATCCGCTAACATTAAATCAGGTACCAATAATAAAGAATTCGACGTTTCTGCTTCTTTTATCTCATAAGTCCGATTCTCTGTACAAAGTACTGCAGTTTCATTACTACTACCTTTAAACGATAAACTAGAATTCCATAAAATTAGTTATCTTACCAAATGTTATTATAAGCCATAAAATGATTCCAAAAATTTAATTATAAAAATATACAATCTTTATGTAATATTTTATGAAATTAATTTCGTACCTATCTCCTTTATTAATTATTTCTAACAGTTGTTCATCAAGCTCCACCAATTTGATACCATGGCCAGAAAATAGATCTTTTGCAGGATATAATATTTGTGTTGTTTCATTAAGATCGGATTCATTTATGTCAGCTGAACGCAAAGTCTCACACACGTGTTCTATGTTACGTAAATAACTAAAGGATTTAATTTTTATTTAAAATTATTTATATGTAATATAAAAGATAGTAATTTAACTTCATACAAACTTTGTATATCCAGATTCGTTCATAATTTAAGTTCACAGTACGAATAGTACTTCAGTACTATACAACAGAGTACTTTAATTTAAATTCAAAAATATGTATATTGATTTTTCTTTTGTTTCAATTTGACGTCACAAAATAAAATTCTCCGCATCAATTCCTGCTAATACCAATTTGAATGTTTACAAGAAAAATCACTGCGGATTTCTCTATAAATAAATTGCTAATAAATTCCTTGTATCTATATGCAAGTTTAGCTCTCCTACTTTCTTAATTTGATTATTTTAATACTGTTATTATTTATGTGACATTCAAACTAAATGCCTTAGATATTCAATATATTATGTTACTGATTATTATTATTAATTGTTATTGCTATTAATACGTTCTCTGACCACTAGATGGTGCAAAAATCACTTGGGAAATTATTTTCCTTATAGTAGTGTCTATTCTATATGATTCTTTTTGTTCGATTTATCGAAAAGATTCAGTAGCTGGTGGCCATATTATTGCCTTGCCGTTGCTCGTATCAACGAACTGTTCTGTGATCAAAAAGTCTGACTTTTATCAAATCGTGTTTTTATTACGGTGCGTATCCCTTTTATATTTATCAAAAAACAAAGTGTCTTAATCAACACTTTTATAGAACATCAACTAGTATATCGTATTTTAGAATGTGTTTTCTCAAGATAGTTCAGTTTCTAACAACAACGAGTATTTATTATTTCAATTATTTTATTATCGATTCTCATATAATTATTCGATAATGTATCGATTGACACAACAATGCCAATTATTAATATATGTCTATAGGAGTAATGTGTTTCGATAGAAGGACCATAACCTTTCTAATGAAAAATGATGAGTAATGAACATTTTCTATCTTATATATACATAAAATGTATATGATATAGTTATAGGTATAAATATTAATAAATTGTATTAAATCAGATACGAAAAGAAACATAAATCATATTTTTTTCACAAATAAAACTTCTTTATACATTATATATGTAGTTGTTTTTCCTTGTAAATACGGTTTTGTTATTTTTAGGAAAATTATCTATCCAATAAGAAATAACAATGTCGAACGATGTAAATATGCAGTCTGATAAGGTATGTCATAGTTTAGGTATTTAGCATGTTTATGATCTTGCATGATAATAAAATTGTATAAAATACCTGAATATAAATTGTATACTTATATGTGCATAAATATATACACACATGTGTACATATATATATATATAATGTATATCTACACATGCAAATATGTATCTTGGGCTGCTATGGGGAAGAGGTTGAGATATTAATTCGTCTATTTGGAACACTGGAAAATACTGGTAAATGAAAGCTCTTGATTAATACCACTTTTCCTTTGAATTAAGCCCGATGAGGAAGAAAGTCTCGATAAAGCTGAGGAAGAAGAGGGCAAATCATCTGTTGACCTGCATGCGGTACCTATCTCTGCAAATTAAACTTGCTGCTTAAAAGCCTATCTTTCATGACTTATCTTATGTTTGCCGCTGTATTAACTCCAGTTTGTATTGTACAGTAGTGCAATTGTAACTTGTAAAAATTTTATACAGATATAATTACAAAATTATATGAAATAAAAAATAAACTTTTAGCAAGAAACCGGCCCTGTTTATGGTGGTTGTGAAGGACCAAATGCAATGTATGTAAAGTTGGTTAGCAGTGATGGTCATGAGTTTATTGTGAAACGAGAACATGCATTAACAAGCGGAACAATCAAAGCTATGCTTAGTGGACCTGGTCAATTTGCAGAAAATGAAGCTAATGAAGTTAATTTCCGTGAAATTCCGTAAGTTCAATAAGTATTTCTAAAAAAATATATAATTATCTCTGACATAAAATTTTTAATTACATTGATGTTTTTCTTACAGTTCTCATGTACTTCAAAAAGTCTGCATGTATTTTACTTATAAAGTTCGTTACACGAATAGCAGCACAGAAATCCCAGAATTTCCGATTGCACCTGAAATTGCGTTAGAACTTTTAATGGCTGGTAATTTTTTAGATTGCTAAATGCAATATTAAATTTTGCAATACTTTATCTTCAAGTGACAAATTTGGTTTTTCAAATTGTTATTATTTATCATTAAAGCAATTACACCTTTTTTGAGGAATATTTAACAACTAAATAATAACATTAATGATAAAGTCTAACACTCAGGAGCCATAAACATTTTTATGTAACGATATACATATGATGTTCCTCTATGAAGAAAACACAAGGTGCATCGAAAATTATGTATTCATGAGTCTGCAATGGTTATATGTAATTTATTATCTAATTGTTTGTTAGAATTTTTGTTAGAATTCATCTATTGTGACAGAAACAAATACATTCGTTATTTTGCCTAGTAGACCGTTTGAAAACAACCACAAATATTTTAACATTCAGTGATATAAATATTTAAATATCAAGATATATAAACATACAATTGAATTTACAGACAAATATTGTCTGTAAATAATATGTCTCTAAAAAAAGGATGAATAAAACAATTTGTATTGTTTGTAATTTTCATGGGGTCAGAGAAAGATAATTAAGCAGATTTTCTCATGACAAAGAATTTTGATCATTTATTACATTCTGTATAGTAACATGTTATACTTTTTATTAAATATAAGTACAATATTTATTCTTGGGTTAAATTTCTATTAGATAGTAATGAAAACATTCTATAATTTTTTTAGAAAGTCTATCTTCTTATTTTGTTTTTCAAATGCAGAGTCGAAATCATAGATTATTAAGTAGAAAAATGACCTCTATAGAAAATAACTTAGTTATTATATTGAAATGTGTTGAGTGATCTTTTGTTAGATAAAAAATAAAATATTGTTTTCGACACCTATATACAAAGAATGTATGAAAATATAAGATAAAAGAAAAAGCTAAGTGCATTAAAATAGTTTGTTAACGTTGGTGCATAATTATTTATAAGTACCTTATAATAATTGTGTACAAATATGTGTTAAAACATACAACTGTAGAAATACTAAATTTCAATTTTCTGTGACATTTCAACATTTTTTATTTACATGGAAATGTGAACACCATTGATTATTCTAATACCATTAAACTATGTACTTTAATTTTATAAGTTATTTCTTTGTAATTACTCATTAACTTCATTTATTATTATTTTCTTGAAGTAAATTCAAGCACAAATATATTTCATCAATTTCAGTTAAAAATAAGAAATCTCAAAATTAACAATTACTATCCATCCACAATCAATGCTATATTAATGTTTTTAAATTAACAATGTTTTTTATTAATAAATTTTAAATATCTGATATACGATATAATAGTATTAGAAAAAGATTTGATTATAAAGTGGGCTTGTTTCCAGTCATAACGTTACCTTTTGTCACATTGTCTATACATTGTTTAAGAACATGAAGATTTTCATTCTTTTTTAAATCCTTCTCAAGATCTTTAAACTTTGCCTCTAATCGTTTAGAATATGCTTCTAGCTTATAAGCTGCTTGTTCTAATTTATTGACACTATCATCAATTTGATCAATATTTTCCAATATAGGTCGCAAATTCTTATATTTTTCATTTAAAGAATCCAATGATATTGAAACATTCGACGATATTGTCTTCAATTCTGTATACTTTGCGATAGTCTCTTTATTTAACCGTTCCAGTAGTCGATAATCAGCGTGAGTAGCGGTGAGTTCTTCTTGCAAGTATTCGCCAGTTTTTTGAAACATCGTATTAGCTAAACGACTTAGATTTGGGTCATGAGGATCAAGAGCTTCGAAACTACTGGTACTAGTTGAAAGTGTTGTACCACGTTTCGGCGATTCGCATCTCGAATTTCCATCTGTCATCGAACTTTCCATCTGTGCACACACAGATTGTGTCGGTTCTTTTGATGGCTTGTTTACGGTTGTCATTTTCTTTTTTATTTTTTTCTAATTCGTATCACTCCGAACGAAACTTGTTAAATTAATGGCCAACTGTAATTTCGATGAACACTTTTTTCTAACAAAAGTGAAGAATATTTAACAATTTAAGAATTAAATGCTTCAAAATAAATTCGTTTCTTAACCTTAATCGTGTCACATTTTCGACACATTCACTTGTACTTATACATTACAATGTGACGTAATTTCTATATCACATTAATTCTCTTTAATTATTATTTATTGTGGCCAATTTGTATTCCGTATCATATTTTTTTATTTATTATATATCGAGCCAATTACGTGTATATTTCCGAAAAAAGTTCGGTTTATAATTGACGACAAAGTCAGCTCCTTTTGACAAATTATTATACTTATTTAAAAAAAATTGGTAATATTATTTGATAAAAAGAATAACTAATTTAACTTCATCGAGAAACGAAGATTCTCAAAATTAATATCTATTTTTAAAGACTACAGGTTGTTTCATCCTGACTAATTCTACAAGTAATATATGTATCGCGTTTATATCGTAGGAAAAATAAAATCAACGTATTGATTTCAAATATATATATCTCTCTGTTGTACTTTAAACAAATTTAATACGAAATATGTCAAAAAAGGATTCTAAATATTTCGAATATATCTTAAAAATGAGAATGGTGTGTATAATGTTAAAAGAAAATTCTCGATTTTTTCGGAATAATTGCAAATCCGCTATATGCATTATATATCCAATAGCGGCGATCAGAACGATATCTTAAATGTTAACTATGATTCGTTAGTCTCCTTGGATATTCCATTTTGTTCTAATAACGAACGACCAATTGGATATGAACGAAAGTTATAAAGATATTTTATGTTGAAAATACTTTTGTGATTTTTGGAGAAAAGGCATGTAAAGGTTAAATCGCGCATTATATACAAGAAAACGCGACCAAAGGTCGGTTTCTTGAAGAAACAGTGGAAACACTCCTAGTGGCGGCGCGCCGCCAGAATATAGTGTTGCGGTTTTTCTCGTACGGAAATGTGAAAATTTTCGTACTACAACAAGAAAATCAAAGGCGATTAGCGTGTGCCGTTGGTCGATGGTAAAAGGGATCAGAAGGTAGGTCGAATTCAAGGATAGTTTCTGTCAAGAAACCTTTGAAAGCAAGATGACACTCGTGCTTTGAAGCGTTATACATCTACGATCCCGTGTCTCTACAGGCCTGCCAGTTACGACATGGCGGGTTTTCGAGAAGAGGATAAAGCACTCTTCCCGATCCAGAGCATCTCTTCGATCGTTCAGATCTTTCAAAATCAACTGGAAAATAACTCGGAGCCGGACCTCGCGCTACTTTCGATTCTCGTCGGAGCTGTTGAGAATTCCCTAACCTGTAACCGGACATTTACGTCGCAGGAGAGCACTGTTTACGACGAGCCTAAATTGCCGGCCGTCGAGTATCATATAGCCGAAGCATTATATACTAAATTCCACGCTGTTATTAAAGGAGCTGTCGATCTCACGGTTTACGACACTAAATACGCTACGCGTGAGCTTATCAAAAAAGTCTCCGATGTTATATGGAACTCACTAACGAGAAGCTATTACAAGGATCGAGCTCATCTACAGAGCCTCTACAGTTATCTTACCGCAAATAAATTGGATTGTTTTGGAGTTGCTTATGCAGTAGTCGCTGGTTGTCAAGTGTTAGGGTTTAAAGATGTGCATCTTGCTATGTCAGAGGACCACGCATGGGTCGTATACGGAGAGCATGGTTCTGAAACTGCAGAGGTTACATGGCACGGTATGCTTGTTATAATATATTTATGCTTTTTTCTTTAAGATTTTCTTTAAGATTTCTTGTCTTATCATAATAGTATTTCATCCTAATAACCCTTGAGCTCAGTTCAAAGAACTGAATAAGAAATTGATACATTGTTTTGGTGTGTGTGTGTATGTGTGTGTATTACAAGTTATTCAAAGAATGCCACATCAAATTATTCAAGCATGCTACTTTGAATATTAGGGAAGGGAAATGAGGATAAACGTGGGCAACCCGTTGAACCTGGTGTAGCTTCTCGATCGTGGTTGTATGTAAATGGTCAGGCAGTTGTATGTTCTCGTGCTATGGAAGTTGCCACAATAGTATCTGCTATAAATCCTAGTCTGAGCGCGACAGCAGATGCGGCCGAAGTAGCGTTACTTCAACAAGAATTATTATGGTTACTCTATGATTTGGGTCATCTTGCCAAATATCCTATGGCGCTTGGTAATTTGGGTGATTTAGAAGAAGCTGCGCCAACACCAGGAAGACCTCCTGCAATAGATTTGTTTCAGGTTAGTTTAAAATTTTGTAAAAGAATGTTTTAATAAAGCATGCAAGTATCATCGATTTCCATTATTTTAGGAAGCCGTAAGATGTGCAAGGAAGTATTATGGAAATGCGCACGTTTATCCATATACTTATCAAGGTGGATATCTTTATAGACATGGATTACATGCTAATGCTTTAGCGTCTTGGTCAGATGCTGCAGATGTATTAAGAAAGTAAGTTTTTATTATCTTGAGAGCTTTCTTCAGGTATATATATGTATATATTAAGATAGTTTTTTTCTTTTCGACACTTTGTTAATGTTAATTAATGTGCGACAGATACGATTATTCGCGGGATGACGGAGAAATATATAAGGAGTTATTGGAAATTGCTAATGAATTAATACCGCACACGGTAAGGGCCGACGAACGACTGTTACGACAGCCACGGTGCTTCGTGTATCTTCTAAGATTTTACGACAGTATTTGTCAATGGGAAGAAGGGGCAAATACTCCTGTTCTGCACATAGGTTGGGCACGACCATTAGTGAATACAATCTCTAAATTCGATGCTTCGATCCGTGCTCAGGTTGTCATCGAATGTTACGATATGGAGACGAAGCAAGAGGAAGAAAAAATGCAAAAGAGAGAAACGAGTCCCGAGGAGACTCTTAACAATAATAATAATAATTATTGTAAAACGAAGGAAAGGGGCAATGCCGCACGTGATTTAATCAAAAGTTTGGAGTCTAAAGTACCGGCTAATCCAGCACCGATGCATCCCAGTATTCAAGCATTAACAGCTGCCTGCAGTGAAAAAATCCTCAACAGGGATTATTTACTACAAGGTGGTGGTGAACCATTCGTCGCTCCTCCTGAAGACACCTTACCTCCAGCACCATCAACTTCCCAGGAAAGTCTAGATCCTGAAGAGGAGGTCGATTCTGAAAATGAAAGGCCAAGAATAACTTTGTACAGTCAAAAAATGAAGGGTCTGAAGGATCTCCTCCTAGCTGAGAAATTAAACACGCATGCTATTTCGTTGCAATTAACCGCACAAAGTCAGGTACAAATAGGTAAGAAGTCACGCGGTAGCGACGAGGTAGGAGTCAATCAACGTCCGAAGAGGACGCGACGCGAATAGTATAAAATCTTTGACCACCGTTTTGGTCTAGTTAAGTATTGAAACATGTTAACCCGTTCTATATCTCGTCTTTTACGAACGACGAGGAGTAACGGGAAACGTGATTAAAGATACACAACGGTGGTCAGTACTTGCCGTCGAAATGAAAGAAAAGAAAGAAAGGTAGAAAGAAAGAAAAAAAAAAAAAGAAACACAAATCAGAAGGAAAAAAGGAAAAGTCTTCGCTCTTATAGTTTCCTTGTGTTTTTTCGAAGTGAATTCTCTGAGTTGATTATTTTTCGAAAGAGAAAAATCGTGATGAATTTTGTGCTGCTTGATTTTACATTCTCTCATTTAAAGCCGAGTCGATGAGAACTTTGTCGTTTTAGAGATAGGTATAGTAGATATGAACAAAATTTATAGAAAAGTACAAAAAAGTTCTCCCCCATCCCACCCCCTTATTTAAGTTAAATACTGATAATTGCGAGTACTTGAGTTTTCGTGTCTTCGTGAAAAGAAAAGAAAGAGATAAAAATGAAGGTATTTTACACGCCTTAGACGTGTGTATTCTTTCATTCTTCCACGGTGTTAAAAAAAAACAAAAAAAAAGAAAAAAAAAACAAACAAACAACAAAAAGAAGAAAAAAGAAGATATCTTTCCTTATCGTACGTTGGAGAAAAAAAATGAATCGAATATCGTACCTAATTCTATTATTATAGGACACTCAGATTTTTTCCTTCAGTACGATTATTTATTCTATTAACGACATAATAACGATTTATCGAGGCGCGAATCGATCGATATTCGGTATTCGTCGTTTCTCACATGTCTAACTTTCTTGTTGCACTATTATTTATTGATTCACGTTTTTTCTATTGAAGCTATTGCACTATGAATGATTACAATTGACAAGTTGTCGTTAATGTTTTTTAAATAGTAGTTGAAACTTTTGTTAGAATTACGCTTCTATGGTCTAGTAAGAAAAACCACACATTCCACTCTGTACGTGGTGCAAACTAATTAAGTTTTACCTAAGGTATTTTAAGCATAAAATGTTCGCTTATTTTTATAACTATTTATTTTCAGAAGTAATTATAAGTACCTATTCGTAGTACTCTGTTTAGTTATTTCTCGATAGGATAGGAAGAACATAGACACAGTGCGCTATTCTATGATTTGACGTTCGATTATTCGTCGTGTCATGTGACGAAATATCTTTTAATTACAGACGAACTTAAAAAGAACTTGCGACAGAATTTACAAACGATGATTGTTGAATGATATTTTTTCTTTTTAAAATCTTCACGTAGAATTGCGTTCTACGAATGTCATGTATACATACACTCGTTGTCGCAAGTCAAATTATATTTTCCGGTAGCTTCTCGCAGCTGACAATTTTTATTATTTTAACATTTTATTTTTCATCTTTTTTTATATTAATAATAATAATAATAATAATAATTATTATTATTACTATTATTATTTTTTTTTTTTTTATATCTATTGACATTGATTTTTCCGTAATGCTAACGTTTCACGTTTCTACGTTTCTTTTTTTTTAACGCGCAATACAATGGTCATAGAGGTATGACCTGAATCATTTTATCGAACACAGTACCTTCCTAACAGTACTATATTATTAGTTACTCCTATCCTAATTACCTCGAATCTTGATGGATATTACGGATATCCAAGTACGTAAATCGCATCGACTTTGATGTTAAGAAAAAGAAAAGCAAGAAAGAAAGAAAAAAAAAGATGCAGAAATGAATAAGAATTATTCGACAATGTTTAGACGGGTTGTTGTAGAGTACGTTGTTGACAGGATGAATATAAATAGTCCGAGCAGATCGACGATCACTTAATAATGAAAGGCGCTATCTTACTGTGATGCTGAATATATACTATATATAAATATATATATAAATATAAATATATATATATAATTATACAATTAATAATCATAATAACTAACAGGCAGCCTGACAATTGCAGAATTTGTTCTCCCTCGTCGAGAAAAAGAAATTCTCTTTGCGTCGCGCTGATCTATTAAAACGAGATAAGAAAAAAAAGCAACAAGCTAATAATTAATGAAATAATTAGAAACGATTACATAATGTAATTATTACGAAAATGATGAGATATCTATATTCGACGTGATATCAATTATATCGGCCGTCGATTATCTGCCGTGCTTGCTGCAGTTAAAATCGATTTTTTCGGAAACATATATATATAATATGTGCGTATTTTTTTATATATATCTCTCTTTTATTATTTTTTCTTTCTACAATGGAACGTATTACATATACGTATATATGTATATATTTATTATTCTCGCCGCATAATTCATGATCTTTTTTTAGCAGGCGAGGCACGTCAGAATCAGCGGCATGTTTTTCTCTGACATTGTATCGACGCATTTCTCTTAGCGTTTATCGAAAGTTAACGGAAATAAAACAGAATAAAAAAAATAATAAAAAAGAAAAAAATAAGAAAAATCGCCATGGAGAGTAACGTGCGCGTTACGATTTAAAAAGAAAAAATTTATATGTTAGTTATCGCACGCTCGTATATGTATATGAATATGTTATGTATGTATATGCGTGTACGAGGGAGTGATCGCTTTTTCTTTCAATTTCTTTTTGTTGTGTGTGTGTGTGTGTGTGCGTGTGTGTGTGTATGTATGTACGTATGTGTGCGTGTTTGCGCGCATGCGCGCGCGTGTGTGATATGTGACCTATTTGGCCGATGCAAGTTTGAATTTTTCACTTTATTTGTCAGCAATTGAAGAAAAACGAAACAAAAAGAAAAGAAAAGGATATTGTTCGTTTTATCTCGAAATATTGATGAATTGTATTTTTTATAAATCGCGTAAAATTCGTTTCATCGTAGAATCTCTTTCGTCGAAAATAAAAAAATGAGGAAAAAGGAGAAGAAAAATGATGAAAAAAACGAGATGAAAAAGAAGAAGAAGAGAGATATGATAAACGAATTGTAAATCTTCTCTGCGCCGTTTGCTAATAATGCGTATGCGTATCCAGTATTTTTTATTTTTATTTTTTTTTCTCTCGATGATATAAAAGGAGCGGTTTTAAAGACTACAGGGATTATTATGCATAATTATAGGAATAGTAAGAGAAGAATTATGGTGCAACAGAACAGTATTTTTATATTAGCGGGGGCGCGGAATTGTCCTCTTCTCATCTTATTATTGGTAATATTTGAACGTAGAGTCAGACGATCATTGCGCGACGTTTTTTTATTGATGTACGTAGGTATTGGAGTTGTGCGTTAAAAAAAAAGAAAGAAAAATTTGAAAAAGAAAAGCAAAAATCGCACGCGAATATCTTTTCATTGCGATGCGCGAATCAGTACTAAATGATGATGATGATGATGATGATGATGATGATGATGATGATGATGATGATGATGATGATGATAATGATGATGATGATAATGATGATGATGATGATGATGGTGATGATGATGATGATAATGATGATTTATTGATAAATTATTGATAAATTAATTCTTAAGAAAAGTTCGTAACACAGTTCGTAAATCTTTCTAAAACTATTATATGTATATTATCGAGCATTTCGATTACAGATGAATTAATATTATTCGCTCAATTATAAATTTCGAGGAAAGGAAGGATAAGAAGAAGGAGTGTCCTTGATAATACGCGCACGAAGGATGGATTATAAATGAAAAAGAAAAAATAGGGGAAAAAAAAGAAGAAGAAGAAGAAAGAGATCTTCGATCATCGTCTTCTCGCTCTCTCGAAAGAAAACGGAAATAAAGAATAGTCACGGACTAATTCATTTTCGCATAATGCTCTTAATTTTCGATTCTCGTTCGGAGAAAACAGTAACAAAGCCTTTCGAAAATGTGTTATTTGACATTAAGGAAAACAAAATAATCACTAGCACATAAAAAAAGAACACACTATTTACATACACGACACTGTAAAACACATTAGAATTACTCTCTATTTTCCCTCTCTCCCAACCCCCTCTTTCTCCCTCCTCCTCCCTCCCTCCATCTTTGTCTTTCTCTCTTTCTCTCTATATTTTTCAAGCAATGATGATTAACTATCTTATTCCATATGTATTACAATGTTATTGCGACAAGCACAAGATAGACCATTTTTCATTGTCGATCTTCGTCTAATCTTTATGTATCTTGATCTTCTTTTTTTAAAATGCACACACACACATATTCACGATGCTGTCTTGCCTTTAAGTTTTATCTTGACTTGGAATCATAGTTCGTAAGGTAGGTTTGCCATGTGCACTAAAAAAAATAAAAAAAAGAAAAAAGAAGAAGAGAAAAGGAAAAAAAAGAATAATCAAATAAAAAAGAGAAAAGTACGAGAAGTGATCATTCTCTTTCCATTGTCTGTATGAAGAAAAAAATAAAGGAATAATAATTTTAAAAAAGAAGAATAAAAAAAACGGAAATGAAATAGATATAACAGAACAATTCATATCGGACGATCGAGTATCCGTTATAGACAAAATTTTACTTACCATAGTAGTGCCATAACGAAACGATTATATACTTCGAACGCGTCTATAGTTGTTGGTTGTACATAGATACATATACGTATCGTACAAAATTTTCTCAGCGAAATAGTTTTTCGTTTTAACACTGTAGGTTATTTCAACACCGCCATTATTTTTTAGCGCACAAAAATATCAAGATTTATTTAACCCTCTATAACGCACTGTGATCATGTGTCTGTATTGTATTCTTTTTTCTTTCTTCTCTTTCTTTTTTTGTATTCTCAGATCTTATTTTACAATTATTAAACTGTTTGTAAAACTAATTATTAAACTGTTGTAACAGACGAAAATGCAACGAAAGATTTCCTTACTAATGAAATATGCAATTATTAACATTGACATCGATCATTTATATGTATACAATATTAAACGTTTGCCAACGGTGCTCTTAAATAATTTACATTCTAATTAGTTATAGAGGGTTAAAGTAATATATTGAACTGATCCATCCATCGTTGTTGTGTTGTATCACCATGCTCGATCAATCGACAATGAATAATTTTTTATTATGCAATTGTGCGTGATCTCGAGGACTCGGATAGATTTATGCATATGATAAACAAAATGGAAAACAAAATAAGAAAAAGAGAAATAGTCGTCTCTAAGGCTTCCTGCATAAGAACTCTTATCTCATTATGTTTCTCAGCTATATTGTATTCTATTTTTTCTTATTTAATTATATAACCATCGGTCAGTCTTATCGATATGTAAATGAAAAAGAACGTTATGCAATTCCGATGTCGACAGAGCCTATGAATATTTTTGCTTCGAATATTATATATATATACGTGTATATATATATATATATATATATATATATATATATATATATATATATATATATATATAAACGAAGAAATTTGAAAAGAAAAATGTATCCTAGTTCCAAGAGATATTTACTGTCGACGATTATTAACTCTCAATGTAGAAGTTTATTAACCGATGAAAGATTATCGTCCACTTCCACGGGAATCTATTAACAAGATATATATAAATATAAATATATAATATATATATATATATATATATATATATACATGTATGTATTAAAAAAAATGCTATTGTAATATAATTAAGTCCAAAACACGATTATACGTATTATCTTGACCATACTTGGCGAATGCATATAGATATGTAAAGAAAAAAAGAGAAAGAAATACACAGATACACGCGCATACATACACGTATACATATACTTTCGCATGTACTTAAAAACAAAAAAAAAAAGATTGTGAAAGATTTCGTTAATGCTTTCGAACGGATTTATTTGAAATGTATCAAATATATTGGCGATACTTAAACTATGAAAAACAAATGGGAAAGGGAAGTGTGCGAGATACTGATTCGAAGAAAAATACAACAAATTTATAAATTTCAGAAAAAAATGAAAGAAACAAAAAATATATAAACTAAAATGTTCAAAGCATACGAACGAAGCTCGAATTCGATATTAATATTGGAAACAGTATTTTGCGTGCTTACTAATCGCATTAGATATAAATAATTCGCGAAAGCATTTTTATGTTTGGTTTATCAAAAATTACAACATATATCTTGTATATTCTTAAAACCAAGAGGAAGAGATAAAAAAACAAAAAATTAAAATAAAAATAACAATAACAAAATAAAACGCGGGGACAAAGGAGATCGAAATAATTATTATATTCTCCATGTTTAAAGATTTAATATTTATCGTCATCGAATCGGAATATCGCACGAGAATGACTTTTTTCTGATTTTCTCTCTCTTTCTCTCTCCCTCTCTCGTCTCCTCTTTCTCTTTCTCTTTCGATAATCTTACGATTGTCGACAAAAATTAATAGATGTTATCTTTAAGAGTGTCATTTGAAAATGATAAGATCAAAAGAAAGAAATAAAAAAGAGAGAAGAGTACACATTAATAATATGATATTATATTACTCACCTCGATATTCCGTGTTGGTACATACATACAGGACGAATCAGAAAAATGTAAACGCAGCTATTGTTGACTGATAGAACAGTGAGTTTTAAAAGGCATCGTAGAAATGTCTTGTTTTTTTCTGTGGATTACAATAAACTATTTTATTCTAACTTTGCTGTGCCTATGGGTAATCTTTTTCCTTTTTCTCTTCTTTTATGTTTCTGTCGAAATAAACTCTCTTTCTTTTTTATATATGTATCTATATATATATATATGTATATGTATATACACACACACTCAGAAATTGTCTGTACTCATTGAATTACTTTTGCTATATTTTATATTATTACTGTAATACAATGCTTCTATTTTAAAAATGACTAAGGTGATCTTATTTTTTTATGAAAAAAGGTGTTTGACAGATAATTATTGTTATAATTTATTGACGATTAAAAATTCTTAAATTTCTGTTTATGATCTTTTTTTATCAGATTATCATAAGTGCTTAAAAAATCATGGTATCGTTACAAGAACCAATATGTGTATATATGTATATATATACTATGTGCATGCTGCGAATTCGCGCATATATATGATGTATATATATATATATATCTTTCTTTATCTTGGAAAAACTAAAAGAAAGGCTGTGTCTTCGAATACGTATTGATTTTTATTCGCTGACTTATAGATTATTTTTTTCGACGAACCTCGTCTCCGTACATTACAAAGAAATCGTATCATAAGAACGTTCATCTAATCGCGATGGCTATAGAATGATCACGCAGGAAACAAAAAAAAGAAAAGATTGTCGATAACTTCGGAATGATCTCATAATATTCCACTTAATGATGATTACTTTCTTTTTAATTTGCGTGTTTTATGTTAAAATGTAAGGGTATATAAAATATGTAATAAATTACAGTTACATTATACGGTAAATCCTTAGTACACTAGGAATATTTGGTCTTTTGGTCGCCCTTTAAACTCTTACATGTTTACGATGTTTGTTTAGCGTGCGTCTTCAAATAAAAGTACTTACCACTTTTAATCAATGCACTCTATTCTTCTTTTTCTTCTTATTTATTTGAAATTTTTGTCGAACGTTTTTATTTTTGTCTTTTCTTTCTCTTCTACTCCTTTTAATTTTCTCGATATAATATCCTTTTTAGCTAGACATATTAAGAACATACTTGGCAATATTTTCTCAAAGTACAGTATGGTGGTAACGTATCTTACATTTACTAAGTTAATCTAACGAGTTTAATATGGTACATGCAGGTGGGAAATTCTTTTGACACTATACTCAAAGATGCTTCTTCTCCCTGATCTAGTTTTCTTTTTCGAACGTGCACGTTGAACTATTTTTATCCTTATACTGTATATTGTATGTACTAAAAGAAAAGTTTCGAACATCGACGTAGATTGACCAAATAGGACAATCCTAGATATTAATACTGCACTTATGATCGATTATTATGCTCTCTCCAGATCGAGCTTAATGATTATAATATGAAAACAACACGGATATATCGAGAGAAAGAAAATTTGATCGAACTCGTGACGTTTTGTTTTTAGATCCGATATTGTCTCGATTTAACGAGACTCCGAGGATCCTCGGCTGTTAATTGTATCTGCTGAAAATCTTATATAATTAAATGTTTTGATTTTCTTTTTTTTACTGATGATCTATCGTTTGAAAAAACCATTCAGTGAAGCGACGAAGTTGTTGAGCAGCAGCATGGCTCTCGTCCTGCAACCGTCGATTCTCGTCTCTCAAACGACGAACTTCATCTTCTAATGAGAGACGACGTCGTGTTTCCCTGGCTACTCTCAGCTCGAGAGTCGAGAGATGAGATTGCAAGTCGGAGACAGAATTTCTGTAAAAATTCAAGAAATCCCATTCGTTTTTTCTCAACAGGTATCTCTCGATATAATTTTTTTATTATGATCGTTAAATCACGATCGTATACTTACGCAATGGTATTACAGCCATCAATGATCCTATCATCGGTCCATTCTTGAGGATGCTGGTTCGACGTTTTATTATTTGAATCTACATGATGATTCTGCCAGCAGTCTACGTCGTCATCTACGTGTGTCTTCGCGTCTTTGGTGGATGTTAAATTGTTTGTGGGTTTTGACATCGAGTGTGGTGATTTTGTAACGCGCGGTGATAATCTGTAAACGGAAAATGTAAAAATATTAATTTGTTTTTATAAAATAGATTAGATTTTAATTACTTTAAAGACATATCTATCGAACGTTTCATTTTATATTTAAACTATGATTAACATTTGTTTAAGATGATGTAACAGGTACGAATTTTATCGTACCTTTCTTCCTTGGACAATTTGTTTTCGCTTGGTGCTGGACTAGATGCTGTGCTAGCATTCGAAATAACAGTGGCTGGCCTAGCCATCGTTAAAATAACTTCGGAACCATTATTACCATTGTCCTGTCCATTAGCAGGTAAAACGCTTAACGTCGAAGTACTGTTACCGCAAAGATTTTCTCTGGACCTACATCTGTTCTGAATCTCCAGCATATTGTTATTTATCTTATTAGAATTCTGATTAGTGCTCATAATGCTATTCGATATATTATTATTTGTTAGCTGACTATCATCAGCTATGTAATCAGGATTAATCAATTTCATCAGATCCTCCTGTAACGTACTTGACGTGAGATTGGCTGAATTTCGATGAGAATTTCTAACACCTGGTTTCGGACGAGGACTTTGATTTCTCGAGCTGCCACTCGAAGGTGTTAAATTACCAGTTCGATGCTTGTTTGCTCTTCTTAATCTCGGTGAAATGCTTCCTGAACCATTGGACAGTTCGTCTTCGCTAGGTAGAGTTGTCACTTCAATGCAATTGCTTTCAGGAATCCTAACTTCCGGTGGAAGACTCGCTGCAAAGTCTTTTGTCTGTCTATATTCGACGTTGACCTTATGCGGAACTGGACGTTCAGACATAGTCGTTTTCAAACAGGTCACTTTTTCACCGACCTTGAACTCATGAGGCATCTCATATCTAATTGGCTCTCTATTGTGATCATTATTCTCGTTATTATTATGTTTTCTATCATTATTCTGTTGTATGGCTTCTAAATCATATTTTGTGATTTCAATGTCGTACTTGCTGTTCCTTTTTTCATAGGAATCTTCTGAATACTCGTAACCTATCGTGGCACGTTTCTCATTACGTATATCGTTACGTATGTCATTACGTGTTTCCTGATCATACTTGTTAGTGTTTCGGTCTAGAAGTTTCTCTTCCTGAATCTCGTACTTCGATGTTCTATCCAGTTTATTTTCGTACTCGTACTTTGAACCTGTTTGATCGAATTCGTTGAATCGTATGAGATTATTGTTACTAGCAGATTTGGGAAGACTATAATTCGCGTTTTGAGCCAATGGTAAGGAATTGGAAGCACTCAGTTTCTGATGAGTAGAGTGATGCTGATAATCATTCTTCAAGAGATCTCTTTGTGACGCATAGAGATTCTCCTGTTTGATCTCAAATTTCTCTTTCTGTAGCTTCACGTAATTCGACGTTACGTGATCTTGATTCCGATGAGTGTTGTCCAGGTGTCTCTGATAATTCTCGTGTCTTGCATTCTCTTGAATAACTTTAGCTGACACATAACCACTTTCTTTGGCGTAGTGATCGTGATTGTGATGTTTCGAATTGTCAGCAAATTGTTTGCTACTCGCGTAATGACTTTCTTTCTCTTTCTTTTGTCCCGTTATTGCTTTGCTAGGTGTTAGAGCTTGATAATTTTGTCTTGCTGGTAATGGTGGTGGTGGTGTGCCATCTGTACGATGTCCATTGCTATCCTGATCCTGTGGTTCCAACAATTCGTACCTGACAAATAAAACATATGAAATGGAAACTTCGATCAAGATCTATTGTTATCTTTCACGTTTTACTCACCAACGATCATCGGTACTACTGTGTCCACTGCTACTGCTGGTCATTGTACCCTCTAATGGAAATCTAGGATCATTAAACGATCTAGAACTCGAACCTGTTCCGTATCCTGAACTATTACTGGATCTAGGTGGGCTAAAAGATCGATCGTATCGTCTTTGATGTGACATGGCAATTTGTTGAGTCGGCGTGTTGTCCGGGTTGGTTACGTTTTCATAATCACCTTCGTAATTGTTCGATAGATGTTGACAATTTTGTAGTGAGCATCCTCTGTGTTTATAAAAAAGGAAAATTAATTTACTTTGTTCTCATGACATTTAAAGTTATTAACATTTTGCGGTTGAAAGATAAATTGGCAAGTCGTAATTGGCAAGAGATGAATGTTACAAAACGTATTAATAAACGCGCGCGCAACTATTTTTAAATATTTAACATTATAAATGTGTGTCATTTAAAAAAGACTTATAAATTTTTTATATCACTCTAATGAAATAGATCTGTTTACCTAACAAGTAAATATTTTTCAATATAATACAAGTAGAATTAACAAGTCTGAAATTCTAATGGCAAACTAACTATTTTCCAAATTAATGATAATTTACAATTACTAGATAATTACATTTCTGTAAATGTAATATATAAATAATATATAAATACTCGGATATATTAGTTAAATGTTTTATCTACTTATTGCAAAATGTTTATAAAAAAACTTTTCGTTAGAACTAATATTAATAGTAATAATAATAATATATATATTATTTATTATACAATTAATACAATTAAACAATTAAACGTGTTTCGAATAAAGCTACCTTCTAGGATTGCCGTCATTCGTGGGTGGTATTACAGTGACAGTGACTTGAACGCTGGTTTTTAAAAGATCAATCATCTGATCGTGGGTCAACGTTGACACAGCCACCTTACAAATCTCAACGAGTCTCGAGCCCTGCCGAAGACCAGCTTGCCACGAAAGTCCCATAGCTTCGACCTGAGTCACTACACCGTCCGGCTGTACATGGAAACCCAATTGTCCGAGGCCGTTTCTTTTGAGAGAAAGTTCAGATGCTGGTGCTCCTTGCGTCACTGCTCGCAATCGTGCGACTATTTCCATCAGTTCGTCGCGTTCACCGTAATCGCCGCGCACATGGATCGTTATACACTCGCCTTGATGATAATACAATCTCAGACTGCAAAGAAATGTCATTAGTTCAAATATTACAAGGGCAAATTTGAAAGGTAAATAATTATTGAATATGTTTAATAAATTGTAAAATAGTTCATTTTTTTCTCTAATTTAATAACATTAAATCTTGACTAAGGAAAGATAAATTAATCAGTTTTTAATTTTTATTTTCTTTAATTGACGATCAAGTCATTATATTTAAGAAAAAAATCATTTCTTCATACTCTCAATTAAATTTAGTTAGCTCTCGATAAGTCAATTTTTTTTCTAAATAATTAAATATATAATAAATACATAATAAATAAATTACATAATGAGAAACTTTTAATATAACATATTAGCAGGTATACTAAATTTTTTATAACTAAATATCGGATATGAATTAATATATACACATACATGAAATTACGACTTAAAAGTTACATAATCTTATGAAAGATTAATAAAAAAAAAAGAAGTTTTTGCGGTTTTCTTCGGTTATATTAAGAATTGCAGCTCCTGTGTTATTAGAAAGTTTCAACTAAACTCACCTATTGGTTTGAGCATGCCAGCCAAGAACGCTGACGCAAGGAGTTACAAAGACGATTTGTCGTGAATGTTCTTCGATCAGTACGATAGTATCAATGCTTATTCCAAGATAGCAATCGGTGTTTTGGTTACTATCCTCAAGAATGACCTGCCAACAAATCGCACCACGCTGGGACGCGTCACAAGATAATCTTGGTCTAACATTTGCCTTCTTTTTACTGCTGAAAGACAGCATCGCTATTAAACGAAAAAAAAGCCAATAGGAAAAAAACGTTTTTAATTTCTATATAACAGAAGTAATTGTTAAACATTTTGTATAATATAAATATTTTATCATAAATATTTATAATATACATTCATTATTATATTTATAAATATGATGTAATACATTAAAAAAAAAAAAAAAAAAAAAAAGAAAAAAAAAGGAAATATTTCATAATATAAATATTAATAGTATAAATATATTTTTGTCATATTATAAATTATATTATTTATTAATTTTTCAGAAATTATATATTTATATATATAAAATTATATTATTATATAATATATATACATATATGTATTTATAAGGAATATTTTATAATATGAAAAAACTTACAAAACTTTTGACCAGTATCGACAACCGTAGCAGAAGAATAATTAGTCGCCAAATCTTTCAAATATTCCTGTCGTGTTCTTGTCGCCATTGTAGCAAACTTTTCTGATCTAAAATAGAGACAAACGATTTTAATTCGGACTATTTAATAATATCGTAAACGATAGTCGTGTACAGGGAATTTTCGTATTACCTGTGTGCTGCATTCTCGGCATTAATTACTTTCGCTAGAATGAAATCTGCAAAAGCTTTTCCCTTTGTAAAGGTCGCTCCTGATGGAACAGGTGGTCCGAAAATAGGCACCTCTTTACTTCTGGAAACAGCTACGCTGTATTGCGTATTGTCCGTGCAAGGATTAATGGCTTTTATCACGATGAACACGTGCTGAAATTGCGAACGTATTCTGCGTGGACTGAACGGTAGAGCTCCGGGTTCCTGAAACACGTTCAAAGGATTAGAAACAAGGGGAAGAAAACGGGGAAAAAATTAAAAAGTTGGAAGAAAAGAAAGAAAATAAAAGGGATATACTACCATATATAAATATCTCTATAATTTCAAAAGTTATTAATAAAATTCGAAAAATGTTTTTAACTTATGACAAATTTAACAAAAAAAAATCGCTATTAAAAGTACGTCCGAAGGATAAAAATTAAAAAAAATTATATTAAACTATAATTATATAATTTGTATAATTTCCAGTAACTGCTTTTTATATAATTAATCAATTATTGTATACATAATACTTTATATAATAATAATAACTTTACTTTATATAAGTACTTTATATAATCTCTGGTTATTTTCGTCCAAACGAAATATAAATTCTGTTTCACATTTCGTATACAAGAACTCGGATATATAATATATTTCGTCAATATGGTCGATTTTTTCTCTCTCTCTCTCTCTCTCTCTCTCTCTCTCTCTTTCTCTCTCTCTCTCTCTCTCTCTCTCTCTCTCCCTCTTCTCTCTCTTCATTCTTACCTGAAAGACTATTGTTACTATGTCGTTCCCAATGTGTCTCTTCCTTAACAGCTGCTGCCGGTTATTCGGCGTAAAGGGTAGCATCGTTGACACGTGAAACGTAACTTCCGCTCCCCGATGAGTCGCAGCTACCGCATGAGTACCCGTTGAGTCTGTTCGAGTATCCAAACCAGCTTTATAACCCTCGAATCCTCGCAGTCTTATTCTTTGGCCTGTTATTATATATTAACAATATTGTATAATATATTCAATATGAATACATTTTTTATTTAAATCATAATTAATTATCAATTAATGACAACTTCGGAAATTTTAATCTTCAAATACATATGATTATGAAATTAGAATGTATAAATGTGTATAATGTAACATAGTTGTAACATATTGTTTTTCATTAAATTTTATAAAACAAATTATGATAAAGAAATTTTGTTATTGTTTCAATTTTAATATTTATTTAATAAACAGTATAATTTTTTGTTATAAATTTAGAAGAAATTAATGTAATAAAAGTTAAAACAAGTAGGATGTTCTGTTAAAGAGATACGCGACTCTTTTTAAGCATTATCATTCAATCCATTTTAGTTTTGATAAATTCTCGGAAATCTGGTCGATGACGCCTGCGCTAGAGTAACTTTTTGCATCTGTCCGAGTTTCGAACACGTGGCCGACTTTTTTCTCTCAACGATAATGTCGTTCGTTGTTAAGAGCTTTTCCGAGAATTTATGTGGGTCACCGATTTCATTTATTCTCTCTTTATTTTTAAACATTTTGCGAAGACTGAAATTTCACGTGTACGATACTTGATCAAGATAAAAAAATTTATAGTATATAAATATTTATAATTATTTTTTATTTTGCATATAATCAGACAAAAATTATTAGAAAAGATAGAATATGGATCCTATATGATTTTTACTTATTAAATCGGCTACTAAAATATTAATAAAACAAAAAAAAAACAAATTACAAAAATATATTTACCGATTGTATCCAGAAATTCAAGAAACGCTGGTCCAGCATGCTGATTATTATACATCTCTTCCTCCGTCCTTTGACCTGATCTACAGTATAACACGCCGACCTTGTACCTACTAGAAAGACCCTGCTCATCCAACCTTGCGACAGCTTCTTCAGCAGCAGCCGTTCCAAGTCTGAGACAGCCTAATTGTACTTCCGGTGCGACCAACTCCAAAAGTTCTCTTGTTGGTACTCTACCTTGGGGCCTTATACCCAATGCTTCTTCAGGCACTGAACCACGTAAAGTTAACAGTTCTGATGTTCTTACGATTATTCGATATTGATTAACGTCTTTACGAATACTGATGGCCACTGGACCTAATTGTTCGTCCATACCAAACCAATTTTGATGTTCTCGACCTAAAAATGTGTATAAAAATTCTTTATAATATTTCTGTAACATTAAAGTCATACATTTGCATATCTATATTTTTCTTAAGTTTATCATTTTATCACCACAAAATTAACAGTTACTTCATACCTTAAAATTTTTATGTTTTCAAAGTATAATTTGCAATTATTATAATATAACTATATTAGTATATAATCGGTAAATAATATTACAATTTTCACATTACATAATATTCTTGTAGACATCGAAAATAAATTTGGGTTTTGAAGAGTTATATACAGAGACGTTCATTTTTATTAATTACCCCAACGAAAATCATTTCGATCGATTAATCAATGAATTAATTACCTAAGAAATATTTCCGATAATAATGAGCACCCTCGTCGACGCTTTCGATCGGTAGTGGTCGTTTTTGTACCGGACACGTGTGTTTCCATAATGTTTCACAGGGTAAAGGTTCCAAAACCGAGACACCATAAGATAATGCCGGCCTATGAACTCCATTAACGTGTGGACAACGAGTAAGGCCAACTTCGCGTTCCCCTTCACCGCCAATCTCATTCCGGAAGAAGGGACACGATTCCAAAAGGTCGTTGCCTGTTGAGCGAACAAACTCCATTTAATATTATCTATTTGTCACTGTCATCGATATACCTTGCTAATAAGATTTATTATTTTCATCGTTGAGTTCCATTATTTGAAAAGCTAAAATTTTTCTTGGTTCCAAAATTTGTACGATTATATATGGATGGAATTTAAAAAGTAAAGAAATCGATATTTTCGACAATTCTATAATCATGATTATAATATCTTGAATTTTAAAATTTTTATTTAATAATTAAATAGGCAAATATTTTACATTTTATATTTTTATTTCTATCGATTATTATTATTATTATAATCTTTTATGGTGCTTTTTTTATGAAATAGAAGTAAATTATTTGTTGAATTATTTAAAATGATTATTAAAATATTATAGCAAACATTACATATAAATTATATATCGTAATCTATTTAATATTTTCTGTAATATTTAACTATGAAATAACATATAATATTAATTGATAATAAATATTATGCAAATATCAAATAATTTAGCTAAGCTAAATTTAATAAGCAATCTATCACTGTTTTATATATATATATATAAGAGAAATCTTTTCTCTCACCTTTTCCATCTCCAGCATCTTCTTCAGGAGTCTCATCTGGAGTTGAGGCTCGTAAAGTGCTCGCAGCTGAGGCACCAGTTGCCGTGTTTCTTCTTCTCGCTAAAAGTATACCTCTCAGTTTAGCAGCATAACCGAGATTAGCCGTAAGCGATTGACAATCATAATGAGCAAAGGCTCGTCTACGATGTCGTTCTTCGACGTCAGCCGATACGACTGGGCTACCACAAGTATCTTCCATAGCACGAGGAGATTTACCACCCCAAAATCTATTCAACTTCAATCGTAATTTCGGACTGGAACCGCTACCGGTTGGTCCACAGACTTCGTCAGTGTCCTGCGCCGACTGTGTATCCTGAACACGTCTTAGATAATCGGCGCTTACTGGACTTCTTTGATCCGTTGGCCGAAAATCTTGAAGCATCGCAAAGATGTTCTCGCCGACTGCAACTGATTGAGCCACTACGTCGATGCTTCCTGTTGATGATAATAAATGTTGTATAATAATGAATATCGTTTTTATATAATTTTTCTTATTAAAATAAATAAAAATATAAATGAAATTTGTCATTTATAATAGATCAAAACGAACAGTTTCAAAATAATTGATTATCATTTTTTTATACAATAATAGAATGCACAGAACGATTTTAAATCATTTATACCGTAGTAAGACTTTATCTATGTCATGTATTAGAAAAAAATATTTTTACATTCTTTTTTTTGTTATAGCAGTAAATAATAAATTAAATTAAATGTATCATGTATAATATACAAGAAGTATTGATGATCATTGTTAAAATGATTGATTGGATTTTGTTTTATATCACAGTGAAATACAGTACAAGAATTTTAAATCATTTATATCGGAAGACTTTATTTGTGGTCTTGTATAAAAAAATGTTTTTTATAACATGCACATTTAATTGAATCAAATGTGAATTATATTATTTAACATTAAGGATTAAAAAATAAGATTTGTAAAAAATATGTCGTCAGAGTATATTTTTATGATATGAAAATGAATTTGATTTTCTAGAATTAATAATACTTCTAAAAAAATTATCTATAAAAAAATAAATTAATCGAACGAAACTTCCTGTTACTACGTAACTTTGTTTCTTTCTAAAATAAATGAAGGATAAAATATTTGCGTAGGCTTTCAAAAGAAAAAGAAAAAAAATTGATTGAGCCACTCGATAGTAGGCGTCGTATAGGTCGATAACAAAATATAATATAATTTTACATTATTTAATTGTTGTTAATTAATCTGTTATTATTTGTCAACGAAAATATTCAAGGGTGTAATAAAACATTTTTGATTTTTATAAAAAGAAAAGAAAAAAATTCGTTTGTATATTTATAAAATATCAAAAATTCGTTTCTAATATCTTCGAATTTAGTTGTTCAGATACTTTTTATATACAAAATATGTTTTTTACAAGAGACAAGAAAAAAGACGAAAGAAAGAGGAGCCGTTGAAACGTACCGTGAGATCCATACTCCCTTCTAAGGGGTGTCTCTGGCACTCGAGAAGCGGGATCAGGACTGTGAGGTAGTTCTAAACTTGAATTGGATCTGTGAAGGGCCAGTCCACGACCCACGCGGCTCACCGGCCCTCCACTGCCGCCGCTATTTATCGGCAGACTCGCGATCATTTCGTCATTCTGCAAATAAAATAAATTCAATCAATTATTAATTCGTTATAGCGTGTATATATATATATATATATATATATATATATATATATATATACACGATATAAATTCATACCTGATTTATATCGTACTGATAATTTATATAGGAATAAAATAAATTCAATAAATTATTAATTCGGTATGATCTGATTTGTTCGTTTACTTTGAATGTATAGATACGACGTAAGATATATTGGTATGTGAATATGTATATACAATGATACTTATACATTCTTATTGTATTATTAAACGAACGTATTGCATATAAAGTCTTTTATAATCGATGTTTCCCTTGTGTATGTTAATTAGCCGTTAATAAGTACATAATGAATCATAAAATCTGCCTCTATCAATGATATAAATTGTCCCCTCTAACCTTTAATTCAAAATAATTGTTAATAAAGTTTCATCTTCTTGCATTATATACGACATAATGAGCAAAACAAAACGTTGTATTATTTGTATAATTGGTCATTAACATCAAGATTAGTATTTGAGTTATTTTTTTCTTCTTCTTTTTTTTTTTTATTAATTTTCAAAGATAAAAACGATCGAGTAATTGGGTCTTATAATTAGGAAGCAAAATTAAATGCCTTTAAATAAATACAAAGTGGAACGCCTAATTAGTACTGTCGAACCCTTCTTTTTTTTTTGTAAGTACGTCTACGTGTGTCAATCGATAATTCCCAAGAGTAGAATAAACGCATGTAAGGTTCATTCATTTATACGATAGAATTTTTGTAAATTCGTATAAAAAAATTTTGTAATTTCGTATAAAAAAATTTTTATTTTCTCATTATCATTGTGAAAAGTGTATGTTCACGTCACTATACCTTAAAACAAAAATCATATAAAATTATTGTATAATCGTAACAAAAATTATTCTTTTGAAAACAATGTGATATTATCATTCCAAATTATTATTATAAAACAAATAAAATCATGATCTGTTTATAAACGAGTGTCACTTATCGTATCGATATCTTCTTTTGTGAATTCTAAAACTTTTTGGAGAATTTAAATTCACTTTTATTTCTCAGAAATATTTAATTATTTTTCTGATAACAGATACAACATCTAAAAGTATATATTTTGACGAAACGAATGTGTGGATTAGTAAATGATATTATTTGGTTAAAATAATATATCGTCGAATCATATAGTTTTATTTATTTTCTTTTTTTTTCGGGGAAAACAAATAATTAACAAATTATTCAAAGAAGATCAACAATATAATTATTATTAAAAAAAAATATAGCTTAGTTGTAATATATCATTATTCTGCGGATATGCCATAATCTTTATGGAAAAGTTATCTGTGTTTAAATCATTGCTTTTTTCCCTGAATGAATGCTGCTCTTTACAGGTTTTTTTTTTCGTTTCGATCGATACACGTCGCCGCAATAAGGTTGATCTTGTTTCCTTAAGATTTATTACGATAATGTCATAACAGAATTACGATACATTAAATACCATCCGATAAAACAGTATGCCAACTTCAAATTATTATCAGGAATGTAACTGCGAACGTGTTCGTATGTAACGTTTACGAACGAATCGACTTGAGTAGGATGAATCAAGTTTGTTTCATTGATTCATGCTCTAGTCGATGATGATCCAATCGCAATCTATAGATCGTCGTATGATCATATGTAGATAAAAAAAAATCTGTAGATCGATTTAATATGATAAATTTTTATGATAAATTTTTATTTTAAACAAAGATATGGAACATATTTGTCTTTGTAATTATGAAAGTAGCCTAAATAAAAAAATGTAAACTAATCGGATTTAACACTTATAAATATATACACATATATATATATAATGTAATATGTCAACAACCAAAAAATATAACAATTTTATAATATTAGATTTTATTAAATAAAAATTTGATGTTAATAATATTATATAAATATTTTAAATCGCGCGCGATATTTAGACGCTGATAATATATTGATGAAGAATAATAATTATCAATTAACTTATTAAAATTAGTCAATGTTTTTATGAAAAAAAAATGATGATTTCGACAAAAATACATGATCCGTTGGTATTCGAGATGGCCCTGTCTGGGATTCCGTTTCCAAGAGAAACGTTAATTAGCTTCGCTTCACTGGCGCAATGAGAGAGGAACGTTTATTGTCTTCTTCGATGCGAAATGACCGGTGACTTACTCTTCCTCTCTCTATGGTTATACGTACATTCGTGAACACACAACAAAGACTTTTATTGTGCACCTGCTGTTTCCTTCCCTCCCTCTCTCTCTCTCTCTCTCTCTCTCTCTTTTTCTCTTTTTCTCACTCTCCCCTCTCTATTTCTCTTTCTTAACGCACACAAAATGTTTGACCATTCGGTATAAGCACCGTACCGTTGGCCGCTTCGCCAAATGCGTTCACTGAATGGGGAATGGCCATTGTTAACTTCGAACCGGTATACCGGGCCAGCACACGTGTAATTAATACGGCAATGCTGACGAATCAACAGTGCGTCGACTTAAAACGAAACACGTATGCCAATCGACATACCTAACACCGCATTTATAATATACTAAAATAACTTTTTTCCGTTACTATTTGATAATTTGAATTAAATTATAAATAAAATGGATATATTTTGTGAATTTAATTAAAAAAAAAAGAAATTGATTTAATTAACATATAACAAGGTTAATCAGTCGATTACCATGAATATTGTTTGTAAATTTTATTAGATAAGTTTCTAAATCTCATTTGTATTGAGTTATATTAGTTTAAAATCATGTTAATCGCGAATAATTATGATTCTAATCGAATCGATGAAAATAATTCATAAAGATAAAAATAACAGATAGAAAATCCCACTACTTCCTAAAAATAAATTTGAATCACGTCGTATAGCATACACCAAATGAATTCTAATTCATTTGAATGTCAAGAATAAAATATGATCTATTCTAAATACGACGAAGTCAACACATCTCTTTTGTCTCAGTTGAAATTTAAAAAATAAGAAAATTAATTCAAAATTATTTCTAATTTCAGTATTTTTCAAAATATCTTTCGATCGCTTAGAATATTGTTTATAAATTGAAACATAATTATCTAAATCTGACTTGTATCATAGTATATTACTTCAATTATGCTAATGACGAATAATTAAAATTCTAATCGAATCAATGAAAATAAATTATAAAAAGAAGAGAGAACAAATTTAGAAAATCCTTTTCTTTCTAAAAATTAATTCGAATCACGACGAATAACGTACCCCAAATGAATTCCAATCGTTCGAACGTCAAGAATGAATTCCAAACGATTCAATATACGATAAGATCGAATTTTCTTTTTGACTTGAGGATGAGTCAAAATTTTAAAAAGAAGAATATATTCGAAATTATTTTTAATTTTTATATTTTCAAAAATATTCTTCGAATAATTATCTAAATTTGATTTTTATGGAATTATATTAGTCTAAAATCATTGTAATTATGAACAATTAAGATTCTAATAATAAGAAAAAAAAAAAAGAAAAAAAAACTAACTTAGAAAATCCTCCTAGGTCTAAAAATTAATTTGTATCATAGTCGCATAGTATATTCGAAACAAATTGCAATCATTCGAACGTCAAGAATCGACTCGATTCGAAATACGAAATCGAGCTTTCTTTTTAGCTCGAGGTTCAATCACAATTAAAAAAAAGAGAAAAAAAATAAGCTCGAAATTATTTCATCCTTAAATTTAATAAGTTCTTGAATCTGACTCGTACCGATTTATATTAATCACGAATAATTAAAATTCTGATTGAAATGATAAAAATAATTCATAAGAAGAAAAATAAGAACTAGCTTGGAGGTTGTTTCTTATTCTGATTTTTTAATGATTTACGCAATCAAGGAGAACAGTCGTAATTCTTAACCGATTTTGATGAACAAGGTCTCATTTTAAAGACAAAGGTTTAATATATCGTAACGTATGAATTTTTGAAAAAGCTTTATATTTGTACATAAACTATTCTCGAAAAAATACCATTTTTCAACACGATTTTTTCAAAGAAAATAAATCTTTTTCAAAAATCCGTCGACACGTTACCTATAGATTAAACCTTTGTCTTGAAATCTTGTTCACCAAAATTGTTCGAGAATTACTTCTGTTTTCTTTGATAATGTAAATGGTGTTTTCGACATTTTTCGCAAAGAAAAAGTTTATTATAGCGCCCCTCGAAATTTGCAGCAAAAGAGATAAAGATCGTACTCCCACTACTAATTTTCATATACACCCTTAAATCTTTTATATCCGTGAAGTAGTGATCGTCTGCTTAGTTGTGGGCGTAAATAGCTAATGCTCAGATTCTTGGAACATTTTCAAACGCAAAGAAATGCGTTTTATGATGCTTGCACAGAAAAGCTACAGTCGACTCACTTGATCATTTTAATGAGCTTTGGCCGAATGATTCTATGGCAAAAATAAGTAAATACGTATCCAATCGTTTATGCCAAGGGATCTTTTCTAAAATATTGTTAAATTTTTGAAAAATTTGTAGTTCCTTTTAGAGTTTATAGACTAAAAAGATAAAGATTTTATAAGCAATGTGTAGCATATTGGGAAGCATCTAGATTCGTAATACAGGAAATCTTAAGTTCTCGAGGCTAAACGATTCCGATGTTTTTTTTTTTATTGTATCGATGTAAACGAAAATAATGAATTAATTTATTCTTTTTTTCTTATTTTTGATAATTTAATAAAGTGTTATTATCCAATCTCTTATATTTATTTCCTTCGGTGATGACTGACGTGATTCGTTTTCATATTATCTATGAAATTTTTCTCCTAGTACTATTTTGTTATGGTTTCCTCTGTAGGAGTTTACTTTATATTATTACTATTACTATAATAATAATATGTAATGTAATAATATAATAATAAAAAAAGTAATAATAAGAAGAAATAGAAGAATATACTTATATTATATAAATCATGACACATATGATGACG